GATCGTCCCCGAAAGCCTGCTGAATCTTGCGAATGGTTTACACTCGGGTATCGCCAAGGTTTTTGGCAAAATTTGATGTAATATCGCTGCTCACGTTGTTCAGTCATTTTCCAGCTTAGTGAAATCCGACGAGAGCGCACTACATGACCTCACTCATAGGCCGATTGCCAACGACTGACGCTTCCTGCAGGCGGGAAAAAATTCAGGGCTGTGCATGACTGTCCCCTCCACAACTCCACCGAAGGAGGCCTCTCTCGCATCATTGGTTTACGCGGAAAAAAAAGGTCCGATACTTTTTGAACAGACCTTGTATACTAAACTTTATATAAATTTAGAAATTACTTATTCGATATTAAAAGATTGTCTTTGTTTAGAATGCTCGTTCAGTTTCCAAAAATTAACATCACACGAATATTCGTGATCGGAAGGATCCCATATGCGTAGCTTTAAAAGAACACCTAAAAAGAAATTTGCAACGTGAAAAAAATGGCGGAACGTTAAATTAATTGCGTTGTTTACCTGTTAGAAGTCCTCCAATAATTGAAATTGCCAGCGTAGAAAATAACGCGACCAGTTGATAGACAGCCTGCTGAGATAAAGAGCGATTTTTTCCTGCATCGATAGGTACATAATCAGCATGAATTTCGTATAGATCTGTTGAATTCTCTAATGGAGCAAGAGCCGGAAACAGTTCGTAGATACTAAACACAAGCAAAGATTTATAAATCTAAACAGAAATGAAAAAAAAAAAGTTAGTAATTGATACAAACCCGAATCCATAATTGCTTTCTTTAGCCTTTAAGGTCAAAATAACACCTAAGATTCCTCCCATTACTCCGGGGAGTCCATGTAAATTATGCACACCGCAAGTGTCTTGAATTTTAAGTTTTCTTGCTAATAGAGGCTAAAAAATTATACATTTATCCTTGAAATTCTTTGGAGATTTGTTTTTTTTTTGGTCGAGGCAAAAATTTCGCGACGTATTTTGTCTGGATATTTGCATATTTTACCTTTAAAAATGCGTAACCAAATACGGATACGATGGATGCTGCGAAACCAACCAACATGGCGCCGTACGGTTGGATCATCATATTTGATACAGTTCCAATGGCTACACCACCGGCGATTGATGAATTTTGTATGTGAATCTGAAATTTTATTTATTTTATTCGTGTGTATTATTGTTTTACGTGACGAAAATACTCACGATATTGAATCGATTGTGTCCTTCGAGCAGAGAAGATAAACCAAAAGTAGTCAAAGTGCAGGTAACCAGAGCTAAATACGTGTTTATAATAGCTCGATGACGATCGTTCCCTAAGATTCCAGAAGAGTTATAACTTGGCCAAAATGCCCACAAAAATAGTGTTCCTAAGAAATTAATAATAATAATAATGGCTCTCTTAAGAATTTAGGCTGAAGAAAGAAAGAGAGGGTGGGTACTGAACAGATGGATGAATCAGAATGTATGAAAAGAAATATTCAAAACTTACCTATTAACGAAAACAAATTTGATTTCCCATAATTTATTTTTGAAAATTCGGATTGATACAGAGAAAAGGACACTGCCAAACCAAAATAAGCGCCAAAAACGTGGACAAAAATTGAATTTCCAGCATCGGTAACCTTTTAAAATTCAAAATTTGCTGTTTAATTTATCTAAATTTCATAAATCTTTCGAAATTTTTTTACCTTAAAAGTATTCAATCCCAATTCTTTATTAAAACTGTACAAAACTGTTTCAATTAAGGACATTATTATAAGTTGTAGGGGATTTATTCTTCCCAAGACAGCACCAGTTGATACAAGAACGGCTAGAGATGCAATATTAGCTTCCACCATACTATTTTAATGGAGGATTATAATTGATAAAGGTGAAAATTCTTTTCGACGAATGAAAACTTACCTAACAATGCCAAAATGCATAACTCCAGATTGCATTTTCCAGATATTTTGCATAATGAAACTCCATTGGATGGTCAGCGAGCATAGCAATAGATTAAATCCTACACCGTTAAAGGCGTATTTCTTCAGAAAAGTCATCAGAAATCCGTATCCAACGACCAACAAGACGTTAACATCTTGAAATACTAAAGTTTAAACATTTGTATTTATATATAAATATATTTTTATAAGTATGCTGGAACAGTGGAAGGATCCTCATTAATTCATCAAGAAATTACATCACTTGATGAATTAATGAGGATGTCCATTTAGATTTTTAAGAAATGTCTTTTATATAAAGAAAAATATTAATATTAATAGAATTATTTAACAAGTAATAGGGATTTATACCTGAATGATAATGCTGAAGCGAAGTAAAGAAGTGCCCAAATCCATCCAACGAATTACTTAGAGTATTTGCTGGGTACGCATCTTTGTGGTATTCCACAAAAAATATAAAAATAATAATAAATGCGACTTGTACTGTCGTTATAACGAAAGCAAGTTTACCTCGTTTCCACATCTCTTCTAATTAAGAAGAACGTGAATTTACTTAAGAATTCGTTAGTTGACCCCACGCCCTTACCTGGTTATTGGTTAAGAGATTATACATAATTTATGAAATGAATTCTTACTGTGATGAACTCCACGCTGTTTATAGGAAAATTACACGAAATATTTAGCAAAGTTATTGATTTAAAATCACGGAAAATCGAATTTAGTTTTGGTAAAATGTATATATTTTATATTATTATTAAATGCGCTCTCGAATTTCCATCCCTTTTTAAGCTTTCTGACTTCCTGTGTGTGGTCAGTTATGTGAAATTAATTTATGAACGGTTAAAACGTTATAAACGGAATTTTATTGATGATAGTTTACGAAAAAAAAAAATTATACACCAGAAAAATAAATTTTGAAAAATAATTAAATTCGAGGTCTGTGAGAAATTAAATGACAATAGAGGAATTCATTTTTTTTAAAGTCCTTTCTTCCTATGAGCATTCCTGATCGGCCATCATGAGTGCGTGAATTGCCACCACCTAAAAAGAAATAAAAAGAATAATTTCGAATATTGTGCTGTATTTATTGAATAGTGTTTCATAATTAACTGCTATCAAGCCTCGATTTAACGCTTTAAAATTGGCATTAAATCGAATATGGCGGTGAATTGAAGTATCTCAAGGTTTACGCACAACTTCCAGTCATGGAGGATTTAGAAGTATCCAAAAGAAGAGGTACTTAAAAATTAACGAGCGATTATTTACTATGATTATTTCATTTAAAATATATGCTCTCCATCTCAAATTAATGGTGTGTTGTCCCGGTACATCATACTTTTTACTGCTAGCAATAGAGTCGTTGCCGATCAAATACAGTATTTAACACCTTTCGGGGGGGAATTTGAATTGAAATAGCGTGACTTTCGGTGTAAACCGAAAGTTCATATTAATATATAGTCAATCGGGGGGGTGTTGAACCTACGGTTTTCATATATGGTTTCGGATTTCGTCTATCTAATTTCATTCCCTAATGGGAACCACCGGGTGAGAGGCATATCCGGGACAAACCATCCCGAAAAATTTCTGGGGTGGTTCTCTCGGATTCGAATCTGGATCCCTCATACAGGTAAGGTAATTATTAAATTATTAATACAATTTTATAAATTTATTCATTTATTTATTTATTTTTAAACATTCATTTTATACAGTAAGAAAGATAGGGGCGTTGCGATGTGTTCTTGGTATTGGTGACTTTTCTTGTGGAGTGTCAATTAGGAAGTTTGTTCTGTATTTGGGCTGGTGTTGTGTTTTATTGAAGATACAGAGAACTTAATGTAGCAACATTTTTCAATTGATAATATGAAGAGAAATGGTTATCCTGTGATAGAAAGCCAAGGAAAAATAATTACACGTATACTGCAGTTGAAAGGTTTGATTATCGTGTTAATTCGAGGTAACTATGATAATATAACGAATTTCTTTAAAAACTAAATTTAATTATGATGTTATTGAGGAACTATCTTAACTTAATCTTTGAATTCTGCTATTTGTGTGGCTTCTACACTCGCTAAATAACATTGCAAAATACACTCCTGTTTCTCAACGCAATATACGGGTTCTGTTATTAATTACATTTAGATATTTAATTTTAGCTGTTTGAACTCGCTGGTAGACAAAATGTAGGAGAATTAACGCGTATATTAATCTTCATACATTTTCAATTGTGTTTTTAGAAAATACAGAGGTTGTATGACTAAGATAAAACGTGGCATATGTAATAAGGGAATAAATCATCGGGTGTACTTGGATTGAGTTTTCAGTATATACTTTAATACTATGATTTTTGGTTGAAGTTTATGTTGGTAGTCGAAAGAAGTTAGTGAAAGGGATAAGTTTTGGCACTTACCAATAAGAATGACGTAACGAGTCCGAATAAATAAATAATAAAGCGAATTTTCTCTTTTAAATAAAGCGTGACTACGACTCTAGAATTACTTTCGGGACAAATTGACTTTATGCATTTGTCATCGGCCAACAAGTTGGGCAACTGATGGCGACATTTATCCAGTTCCACTTCCTCTTCATACGTCCAAACAATTTTGACGTAATCGTAAACATTTGCCAAAATTTCTTTGATTCTTTTAATTGTTTTATCGCAAATTGCCATGAATTTTCTGTAGTATTGTTTTGTTAGGTCCCAAATACTCTGTTTCTCCTGTTGGGGACAGAAACATTCCGAAACAGGTACTTTGCATAGATTTTTAGGATCCAGTTTCTTCAACCATATTTTCCAAGCTGGTTCGGGTTTCATCCAATCGGCACATCGAATGACTACCGAATTTTCTTCGCAGTAAATTTGGGGAATCCAAAATGAAATTTTTATTTTCATTACTTTGTACCAATCGAAAATCTCGTTCCATACGCTCCGAATTAATTTTTTGCAACGTTCTTTTTGTTCATTTTTAAGCAATTCGATGTTTTTGATACAATTTGCAATGCTCGCTGCAAAAGTAAATTATGTTTACTATAAAAATTAATTATATTTAAGTTTGCATTGTTTAACTTACCCATATCGACGAATAAAAATAAAATTAGAATAATGAGAAAGGAAAAAAAGAAAATCTTGTACGCCATTTTCTCTACAGGGATGTACAAAAGACTGATTTTTTATTGTTCTACAAGGCGTATTTTTATTAATTTATTGTTTAACAACAATGTCATAGTGTAACAATATACCTTCTTCTGTATAAAATATTAATTTTTAAAATTATTTTCTTGATTAAAGAAGTGTTAGAAGCGTAATTGCATTGGCTAACGTGGATTGGATTGCTAATGGATATTTGGATTGGGGGACTTTAAGCCAGGAGGATCCGGATAAATGAAAAATAATTCAATTGTATTTAATCCACATTTTGCCAGAGAAACAATACATTTTTCATTCGCAGTTTTTCAGAATTAAGGATGTTTCTGCTTGAATGTGGATGGATTATTAACATCGTAATATTACTCTTTTTTTTATCTCTAATGAGATTTAACCAGGATATTTTTCAAAAATTTCTGTACGGATGAGTGACAAGATGAAACCATTATATTATGATGCATTATTATTATTATTATTTTCATCTTTTTATCACAAGGACGAAACGATTTACTATAAATTAATTTAATTAATATCTAGGAAAGATGACGCACGAAAATATAATATGTATTGTTGGTTTGTATATATTGTATTGTAATTTTGTACAATGAACTATAGTTAAAATAATGTAAAATTCTTAAGTTTTTCTCCATTGATAGATTATGAGATATTGTTTCTTTTTTAATACCCTATATCTGTGATGATTTGGCAAATAGGACACACCAGACATCTTAATAAACAGGTTGAAAACTCAACCCTTTTTGGGGTATTAATGTGTCGAATGTTAGTATCATTACGAGTAAGTTATTGGCTTCTAGATGTCGCGTGCGAACATGAAAGGGTGTCATGTTCGCACGCGACTCTTTGTCTACGCGTAACGTAGACAAAGAGTGCATTAGAACAGGAGGTGTGTCCTCCTCCTGTTCTAATGCACTCTTTGCATCTACGAATTCTCGGAAATTCCAGGCCTCTCTCTGATTATTTTGACCTTGTTTACTTTAATATACCACATAAATGCTGAATGCTTTTTAATTGCCTACACAATAACCTTGACAAACAATATATAATAGTGTAGGTAATGATAGCAATTGGTGAGGTGATTAATGTAGCTTATATTTAGAGAAAAGGAAAATTAGTGCTTTAAATTATCTGTCATTAATTACAGTTGTTATCTATAAACGTCACTTGTATTGTCCCACGTAAAGTTAATGTTATTTAACATGTTTTAGAATATTATAAACATGAATTGATAGTAAAATTAACAAGAAATAGAACGTGTTGAATTGGATTCATGGGATAAGACAATGCAATATGTGGTCGATCTGTTAAGAGGTCATTTAAATAAACACATTCTAACAGATAACAATTTATATTTTTATTATTATTCTTTACCTTACTTTTTTGGAGAATACAAATTTCTACGCTAATCAACGTTTGAAAAGCAGCGATTAAAATCTAAAAATAACCCAAAACAATCGATTTTATAAGGTAATTAGAGTTTTTCCGAATAATAAAAATTTAAATTTACAATTCCTTCCACATGTGTTTCCGCGTTATTAGTCATATTACTCCTTTTTATTTTATTATATAACTTTTGCTTTGTATTATTTATTGTGGCCAGAAGAACTGGAAGAAAGATTAAGGCATTAGCGGCAGAAAATAAAATAACTAGAAATATAATTTTAAAAGTGGCAACAAACATATACGCCAAAGGGAAGGCTAATGGCAATATTGATATTATTGTTGTTGCGCTACCTTGAAATATCGCTAGTCCTATAGAACTGATGCTGTAACGAAGTCGCTGATTGTGATCCTCGCTGGGGCATCGCTTATAAAAATGCGAGAAGTGTGCCGTAAAATCGACAGAAAATCCAGCGCACATGACTAAAACCACGATGGAAACTTGAGCTAAATCGATACCCCATAAGGCCATGTACCCTAACGTACAGATTTCTGTACAAATTATAGAGAAGGCAACCGAAAAGGTAGTAACAACGTCTGGCATGAATATAAAACAAACGATAATTACAATAAATATGATACTACCCAGCATCTGAGCGGTGAATTTCAAGTGTAACTCGGAGTCATCCACCAAAAAGGAATTGTAATGATATGGGAAAACGTGGAATGGGGCTCCGTCCGTAATTTCTCGTAATTTTTTCAGAGTGGCCACTTCGGCATCTTCGTTTTCTGTGAAATCCGTTTGAGCAAAGAATCTACTGCCAATTATTGAAGTGTAATTCGAATTGAAAGCTATGTCGTCTCTGAAACGTCGAGCCATCGGATGACGTAGAAATGCTTTTCGTAGTACAGCAATGAAATCCCCCTGGTCACTTATATTGTAGGACTTCAGGAGGAATGATATTCTTTCGTCTTTAAGGAAATCTAAATACCATCTGAGCCAGGATTCGGTTAAAGATGCCACAGTTAAACCATTTTCTTCAATTTTTAATAATAATTTTTCTATATCTTCTTGAATTTTTTTATCCGCGTAATTTACTTCTTCGTCGATAACAATTTGAAATCTGTACTTATTATACGAATAGTATTTAAAATATTTTACGTAATACTTTAGTAAGTACGAATCCGAAGCGATTGATTGGGAAGTGCTTCCTACGACATCTATATAACTTATGCCCCACAGTCCTATCGATACGTGTAAAATTAATATTAAAAAAACAATTAATTTAGTGGGCCACAATGACAGGAGATTGCCCAGTCGGATCCATATTGTGGATAAGAAATTCAGTTTACTGTTTTCGTATTCCCACTTTTGACTCGTGAGGAATGTTTTCCTGAACCACGTTTGGCCCTCTGGAAATAATTATAGAAATTGTTGAATGTTTTATTATATTTATTTCAAGTAAATAAAGCTTTACAAATAAAAAAATACCGTTAGATTTTTCCAATTGTACGAATAGTAGCGAATGCCTATTTTGCTTCTCCAGGTATCCGAAGAGGGCCATGCAAGCCCCAACGAACGTGATCTGATAAACGTAACAGAAGATAACGGTTACTGAAGCGTACGTACAGAAGTAACGAATTATTCTGTAAGGGGCCAATAATCCAGAAGAGAAAGCTATTAAATTTGTAATGGAAGTTATGGTTACGGAGATGGCAGATTCCGAATAAACGTACAACATTCTGTCCGTAACGCTATTCTTGGAATCGGTCTTTTTCCAGGCAGCCAAAAAAACAAATGCATCATCCATACCTATACCTAAAACGAAATAGTTTTATAAGTAATATTTGTAAAGGGTGGCCCAAAAGTAGGTTAACCGAGACGTATTTTATTACTCGGTGAGTGTTAACTGACTTTTGAGCCACTCTAATTCTTATTTTAGTAATTAAATATAGAGTAGTGTATTGAACTTACCTAAAATTAAAAAGGGGATAGACCCAACAGCAACTGTTAATGGTATGTCGCAGTACAGAATTAAACCAAAAGATGAAGTTAAAGCCATTCCACCTGAAGTCAGTGCTATGACCCCTATCCAAGGCTTGCTTTCGATCCAATTATTAAATAAACAGGTAAGAGTAGAGAACACTAAAACGGCAATTATCGCTAGAGGAATTCGCGGAAACACTTTGTAAATCACATTATTGAGTTCTTGAGGAGTTGAAATCGTAGCATATCTGTCGACATTTATGTACCGGAAATTAATAGATGATGTCGCGTTCAAAAACAAGCATTGCCATTGTTCCGCGTTACGTTTCTTCATCATTGTGTCGTCATTTAAATAATAAAACAATCGTATGGCTTTGGCACTCGTCACCATGTCGTCATTGTTGGTTTCAACTCCTCCAAGAAATAAACTATTCAATTGATAATCATAATTTCTTTCAATATCTAATGGATATTTTATGGAATAATTTCCATTTTCCATCATTTCGATACGTTCTTCATCTAGAAGAATATGATTTTCGAAGCATACTCCTCTATTATCCATGGCGCAAAGATCTTTGTACTTCATGCTACGAATCTCTTCAATTCTCAGATTTTGAATAATTTCGTCTAAATTTAATATTTCTTTGAATATTTCGTGTCTAAGTACTGATCCGCCATCTTTAGCTGTGATCAGTACTGATGCAAGAGACGGTTCTCTATTCATTCTCTCTATACTCGCATTGTGAGATAGATCCATTGGAAATAATTTTTGTATGCTGGCTTCTTCTGTGACGTGTCTCGTGTTATCCGGAGCGAATAAGTACTTTATATCATTTACTTCTTGCCATTTTTGAAGTCCAGTAGCTAATATTAACGAAACAAACACAGGGGTTATGATGAAGTAACTGGTGTATGTTGCCACGTAAATTCCCAAATTTCCAAATTTCTTGGATAAGTATTTGTTGAAACTGTCTAATTTCATGATTCTGCAACAACAAAAAAAAAAAAAAAAAACATTAACGAATTATTGAATCACTCAAAATTTCCTGACAATTGTAAACTTAATACATGTCTTAGGGCCTAAGACATGTAATATCCTACATAAAGACATACGAACGGATTTTAATGTATAACTTACATCCTGTTGTATGCCAAATTATAATTATTGTATTGATAATTAACTGTATAAAAAATTTTGATAAGAAGTTTCCTGTAAATTCGTAATTTATTTCTATTCTTTTTAACAGAGCAATCAGTGTTCTCGTTCTAGGAAGTGTTTACAATAAACTTTCTTTCGTTCTTTAAATATATTTTTTTCTTTATTATTTTTAAATTTATTTTAATCTATGGGGGGAATTTTAATTCGTGATTTAACATTATAAGTTTCACACTTGAATTTTCCTGGAGCTCCGTTAAAATGGGCATGTAATAATGTCCGTGCCCCGTGGGGCATCTCTTTCTTATAGTGTTACTGTTCATTAATAGTAATTTTGTTCTACAGTACAGAGGAATTACATAAATATACATAATAAGTGGGCCTCAAAAGCGCTTCGTACGTTACTACACGCAAAAAGGGTCCCTTCCACGTGTAGTAATATGAAAAGCATAAATCTCTAAAAAAGCATTCGAATCTCCTTTGAAATAATCGTAAACAAGGGATTAAATATACTTTCGCTTAATTTAAATACAATAGAATTTGCCTATTTTGGGGAAGAGGAAATTGCTTAATGGAGTTAATAAATAAGATCACAATTAGTGTGAATTGTGATCAATTGTAACATTAAAACAATTAGAAAATGCTTAATTAACTTTCGGTAAAGATATATTAATACAAATTATAAAAGTTATTTAGAATTGTAGGTAAGTGTAGGCATTTGTATAATGAATACGTGCTTAATTCTAATTATACTGCGCCTTTTTTTGAATTAAATATATATTTATACAATAATTAACAAAGCACTTACTTAGGCTAGTCGAGATTGCAGCCGGTGTCTTCGAATTATATTATCGTGATTAAATATTCTATTAGTTCTTATATTCATACGTAGACACTATATAAGAGTCAAAATGAATGATATCGCTTCAACACAATGTGTTATTACTTACCTGATATCGATCTGGAAGCCTTGGACCGAATAAATTTCTATGATTACATATAATAATGTTATTCGGAAAAATCGGATGACGTGACTTACATTGTCGTCTTAAAAATGAAAATACCTCAAGGTTACGTCGATAAACCTTGTGTTAAACAAGAGGAAACTCGAATATAAACACTAAGTATTAAGGTATGCTTTAATGCTTGGCTCTTAAAACGAGTGGACACGTGAGTAATTGTTTATAGGTAAGTTAATTCAACTAAGGTCCCCAGAGAAGCTCGAGATTGTATGCAATTTCAGTCCAAATTGCTGTGTTTTACCATAAGATACTCGGATCCTTATTATTTTTCGTATAATTCAAATTGCTATTGAGGTCCGCAAAGGGGTGCCATCATAAAAGAAGATCCAAATGAATTCTGTGGAGTACAAGCGTGAAAGTTGAATAAAGTACGAAAATCTTCAGGATGTTTATGTATTGACAGATTAGGGCCACTTTATTATTGCGTAATACAATACACTTAAACACAGTGGCCCATAACTCGGTTAACAAAGATTGTTTTTACTTGTCAGATCGAACAAAGGTTAAATTTGTATTGGTTATATTTTGTGGAACAATGTATTGTGGAAGATTATCTTCCACAATACATTGTTTAACCTGCATATGAAGGACTTTACAGAAGTCCTTCATATGCAGGTTAAACAGTATAATTCTGTATTAATTTTCAGCAATGTCAAAAAGTTCATAAATAAATCTGCTTAATTATTAATATAAAGTCAAAGACCGATTGTAATTTCATTAAAAAGAACTTTATATATACAAGATATAAGTTTTAAAATAGGGCCTCGCCGCCTTAAAGGCCTCATCTCTCTACTAATTATTACTATTTTTGTTTTATGTCTGTATACACGTAATGCATGTAAATTGCGATTTAATAACGATCCACCTTAATATTTAAGGATAGAGCGACATAACCTTGTAACATATGCTGTATTTATATATATATAATGATTTCCGTATAAATTACATAAGGTAAATAGAAGATAACGTTTTATTAGCTGAGGGAAAGGAATTTATACAAAAATAATCGAGATTTAAAGAGAGAGAATAAAAAAAATTATAAAGACAGACAGGGCCTTGTTTCAAGGAGGGCCTCGCCTTCTGACGGGCCTTATCTCACTGCTCATTAATAATAACTTTGTTTTATACAACACCTTTTAATGAAATCGAGATCGATTGCATTTTTGATTTCCGTGAGGGGTGATGTAGCATCGCGTGCAATTACTGGATAAGCTTCTGTTATAAAGACAATAGAAATGCATTTATAAGGACATAACAATGGCAATAATTCATCATATGACATTTTTAAATTAAAATCTTTCCAAATTTTTTAAACACCAAGCACCTGAAAGTATATATCTCTGTACTGTACTTTAAATAACTATTAGATTTCTAGTGTTGTAATTTTCTAAATTGAATAATTCATTTTGTGAGATTTAAATCGATAAATTTTATACTTTAAAATTGCTTTTTGCCAGTGAGCTATATCGGTTATAATAACAATAATAAATTCTATTATTACAAGGAAAATTCGTTTCGGTATACGAGGATAAATTGTATAGAATATTAAAAAGTAAATTGGTTATAAACAAGGAAAAAAACTTCAATCCTCGACTTGTCGTATAGTAAAAAATAGTTAATATGTTAGGTTTAGTAAAAATGGGATTCCATTGGACTTCAATAAGCCATAGGACCCGTATACCTAGATACGTCCCTGGCCTGGTGCAGTAAATTTCTGATTACAATGTAAAGGGCTGATCTAATGTAGACACATTAGATCAAGCTGCAAGTACACGTGTACTTACTTGCTCAAGCTGGAAGACCTGTAAAAGAACAAATTGCTGATCCTGGGATGCCCAGAAGGAGAGCAAAATGAGCAACTTTCCCTGGGTTCCGAGGAATTAAGGGCCCACTACACAACATTTACTTCCTTGACTTTAATGTAACAATTTAATTGGCTGTAGGGTCCCAATATTCACTCGTCTGAGGGTTCTCGTTTCCCTCTGGGTGCCCTTGCCATCAGTAGATTCATATAGTCAATCCGAACAGAACAGTATTGTTGTAACAGTTATTGAAAAACTTATGTAGAAACGATACATTATTCTATTGATTATACAGTTTATTTTTTTATTTTATTAAATAAAAATATAAAAATAACAATAAGCATTATAACAGGAAATTGTTCTATCAAATCATTAATTTAAAATTAAGTAGTAAAAAATCGAATTCCGCATATTACAGAGTAAATGATACATTGAATGGTTGTTTATAGAATAAAGATCATCTGTGTATGAATTAACGAACGGATGCCGTTTCCAAAGAATAAAAACTCAGATTTATTTGTTCGTTTGTTTCGTTGGAATCGTTATTATTAATAATTGCTTCGTCCGAGCTGCAACAGTTACGTTGCTTTACGTCATCGAACAACGTTAAAAGAACGGGAAGAATTATTAAAGCGTTTAGGACAGAGAACAGGACCACCAAGAACACGACTTTGAACAGAGCCACAAAAACGTAAGCTAAAGGATACGCTAAGGGTAACAAAGATATTAGTGTAGTTACACTGCCTTGAAATATAGCGTGACCTACCGATTCGATACTGTTACGCAGACTTCGACTTTGTCGATACGCGTAACACAGGTGAACGGAGTAATCGACGGAAAATCCGGCACACATGACTAAAACAATTACAGACACTTGAGCAAGTTCGACGTTCCAAAGGGCCATATAACCCAAAACAGAAACCTCTATAGAGATTATAGAGAAAACAATTGATAAAGTGACGACCGTGTCTGGCATGAAAACGAAGAAAACAACGACGACGACCAATACGACGCTTCCTAACATCTGAGCTGTGAATTTCACACGAAGATCCGCATCGTCTACCCAGAATGAAAAATATACGTAAGGGAATGCAGTAAATGGTAACTGATCGGTAACGACCCTCATTTTCTGTATGACGTCAATTTCCGCTTCTTCGTTTTTGATGGTGTTGGTCTGACAGAAGAATCTGCTTCCTAGTATTGAAGTGTAATTGGCGTCGAACTTGATGTCGTTACGGAAATTTTCGGCAGCAGGATGCTGCAGGAAAATGCGACGTAACAGCAATATGAAATCGTAACTGTCGCTGACGTTGTAAGTGTTTACCACGAGGGACATTCTTTCGTCGTTAAGAAATTCCAAGTAGGATCTCAACCAGGATTGGGTAAGAGAATCTTCAATTAGATTTTCCTCCCTCATCGTCTTGAAAATCTTCTCAATCCTCTTCTGAATCTTTACGTCTGCGTAATTTATTTCTTGGTCGATGACGATTTGAACCCTGTGTTTGAATCGCGAGAAGTGTTGGTAATCGTTGACGTAATAACTCATTAAGTACGAATCGAAGGCACAGGACTGAGAAACGTCGCCTATGACGTCGGTCTGCGTCATCCCCCAAAATCCCACGGAGACGTGAAAGGCGTAAGTCATCAGAACTAAAATTTGTATTCGTCGAAGTGACAGGAGGTTGCCGAGTTGTGTCCACATGGAAATGTCTTTGGTGTTTTCGGATTTCCACACAGAGAAAACGCCTGTGATCCACGCAGGAAACTCTAAAATAAATAAATAAAGACTACAGTTAACCGACTTTTGGGATCTGGCGTATATAGTTATTGAATATTTCTTACTGTTGGGTTCTTCCAAGCGTATGAAGTAGAGGGAATGTCTATTCTGCTTCTCGACGTAACCACAGACGGCCATGCACGCGCCCACAAACGTCAGCTGGTAAACATAACAGAAAATGACGGCGGTCGATGCGTATATACAGAAACACCTGATCATTCTGTAAGGAGCGAATATCCCCGAAGAAAATGCTAGAATATTGGTGAGGGATGTTACAGTGACGGAAACGGCCGATTCCCAATACACGTCACCAATTCTCTCCTCTACGGATTTTCTAGGATCCGTTCTTTTCCAAGAGGCCAAAAACACGAATGCGTCGTCCATTCCTACTCCTAAAATTCAATTTATTATTATTATTTATGAGAAAAATCTAGAAAGAAATCTCTTGCATAATTAGTCTTATTCTACAAGACACTGGTACGTATTGTATTCATATTTACCTAATATGAGGAAAGGTATGGATCCGCTAGAAGCAATGAATGGCACACCCAAGTACAAGATGAAGCCAAAAGACGATGCCAAAGCCATTCCTCCAGATAACAGTGCAATGAGTCCTATCCAGGGTTTGCTTTCGATCCAGTTATTGTGAAGAGACGTGGCTATTGAAAACAATAGAATTGCTATTGTTGCAAATTGCAATCGAGGTAACATTCTGTGCATAATCTTGCCGAGCTCTTCTTTGACGGAAATGGAAGTGTATTTATCCACGTGAATGAAACGAAACGAAGTTCTTGTCAAAGTATCTAGAAACTTGCGTTGCCATTCGTAAGCGATGTCATTATTGTAACTCGTTTTATCGTTTAAATAATAAAACAGCTTTAGAGCTTTGGCACTAATCACGTTGTTTTTATCGTCGACTCGAACACCCCCCAGAAATAAGCTATTCAGGTGAAGATCAAATATCTTTTCTTTATCCAAAGGATATTTTATCGAGTAATTTCCTTTCTGCATTCCTCTAACTTGATCCTTTAATAAAAGAATAGAATTTTCGAAGCATTTCATGTTATTTTTCGCGCATATATCTTTATATTTTAAGTCTGTTACGCGCGTAACGGTGACGTTTCGAACGATGTCGTCTAATTGTAGTATCTCGTCGTATAAATCTTCTCGAAGCACGGATCCTTGGTCCTTGGCCGTAACTAGAACAATGGCTAAACAGGGGATTCTGTTCATTCTTTCCATGTTAGCGTTGGAGGATAAATCCATGGGAAACAACTTTTCTATGGTAACCTCTTCTTTAGAATGTCGTGCGTTAAGGGGTGCGAATAAATATTTTAAATCGTTATTTTCGCGCCATCTTTGAAGTCCGGTTGCCAGTAATATCGACAGGAATAATGGAATCATAATAAAATAACTCCAGTTTCTAGCCACGCACATTCCCATACTTCGAAATTTTTCGGATAAAATCTTGCTGCAATTCACNATGTTTATTTTTCAATTGCTTTAGATGAAAGCACTGATAAAACAGATTCGGCACAAGTTTTATATTTTATTCGTGCTATAACTAAAGATTTTCAATGTTACGAAGAACTACTTGCGTTGGGTACACTAACTGGAAGAACTCGAGGAGCCGATATTTTCGAAAACTTCAAAGAAGTATGTAATAAATTACAATTGAATGTCAGTAATTTAGTCAGTGTCTGCACCGATGGCGCACCTTCCATGAGAGGCAAAAAAGAAGGATTCATTGCTTTGTTAAAAAAGGAAAACTTAAACTTGAAAAAATTGATATCATTTCACTGCATTTTGCATCAGCAAAATCTTTGCGCAAAATCNAACTTTCTTTCGTTCTTTAAATATATTTTTTTCTTTATTATTTTTAAATTTAATTTAATCTATGGGGGGAATTTTAATTCGTGATTTAACATTATAAGTTTCACACTTGAATTTTCCTGGAGCTCCGTTAAAATGGGCATGTAATAATGTCCGTGCCCCGTGGGTCATCTCTTTCTTATAGTGTTACTGTTCATTAATAGTAATTTTGTTCTACAGTACAGAGGAATTACATAAATATACATAATAAGTGGGCCTCAAAAGCGCTTCGTACGTTACTACACGCAAAAAGGGTCCCTTCCACGTGTAGTAATATGAAAAGCATAAATCTCCAAAAAAGCATTCGAATCTCCTTTGAAATAATCGTAAACAAGGGATTAAATATACTTTCACTTAATTTAAATACAATAGAATTTGCCTATTTTGGGGAAGAGGAAATTGCTTAATGGAGTTAATAAATAAGATCACAATTAGTGTGAATTGTGATCAATTGTAACATTAAAACAATTAGAAAATGCTTAATTAACTTTCGGTAAAGATATATTAATACAAATTATAAAAGTTATTTAGAATTGTAGGTAAGTGTAGGCATTTGTATAATGAATACGTGCTTAATTCTAATTATACTGCGCCTTTTTTTGAATTAAATATATATTTATACAATAATTAACAAAGCACTTACTTAGGCTAGTCGAGATTGCAGCCGGTGTCTTCGAATTATATTATCGTGATTAAATATTCTATTAGTTCTTATATTCATACGTAGACACTATATAAGAGTCAAAATGAATGATATCGCTTCAACACAATGTGTTATTACTTACCTGATATCGATCTGGAAGCCTTGGACCGAATAAATTTCTATGATTACATATAATAATGTTATTCGGAAAAATCGGATGACGTGACTTACATTGTCGTCTTAAAAATGAAAATACCTCAAGGTTACGTCGATAAACCTTGTGTTAAACAAGAGGAAACTCGAATATAAACACTAAGTATTAAGGTATGCTTTAATGCTTGGCTCTTAAAACGAGTGGACACGTGAGTAATTGTTTATAGGTAAGTTAATTCAACTAAGGTCCCCAGAGAAGCTCGAGATTGTATGCAATTTCAGTCCAAATTGCTGTGTTTTACCATAAGATACTCGGATCCTTATTATTTTTCGTATAATTCAAATTGCTATTGAGGTCCGCAAAGGGGTGCCATCATAAAAGAAGATCCAAATGAATTCTGTGGAGTACAAGCGTGAAAGTTGAATAAAGTACGAAAATCTTCAGGATGTTTATGTATTGACAGATTAGGGCCACTTTATTATTGCGTAATACAATACACTTAAACACAGTGGCCCATAACTTGGTTAACAAAGATTGTTTTTACTTGTCAGATCGAACAAAGGTTAAATTTGTATTGGTTATATTTTGTGGAACAATGTATTGTGGAAGATTATCTTCCACAATACATTGTTTAACCTGCATATGAAGGACTTTACAGAAATCCTTCATACGCAGGTTAAACAGTATAATTCTGTATTAATTTTCAGCAATGTCAAAAAGTTCATAAATAAATCTGCTTAATTATTAATATAAAGTCAAAGACCGATTGTAATTTCATTAAAAAGAACTTTATACATACAAGATATAAGTTTTAAAATAGGGCCTCGCCGCCTTAAAGGCCTCATCTCTCTACTAATTATTACTATTTTTGTTTTATGTCTGTATACACGTAATGCATGTAAATTGCGATTTAATAACGATCCACCTTAATATTTAAGGATAGAGCGACATAACCTTGTAACATATGCTGTATTTATATATATATAATGATTTCCGTATAAATTACATAAGGTAAATAGAAGATAACGTTTTATTAGCTGAGGGAAAGGAATTTATACAAAAATAATCGAGATTTAAAGAGAGAGAATAAAAAAAATTATAAAGACAGACAGGGCCTTGTTTCAAGGAGGGCCTCGCCTTCTGACGGGCCTTATCTCACTGCTCATTAATAATAACTTTGTTTTATACAACACCTTTTAATGAAATCGAGATCGATTGCATTTTTGATTTCCGTGAGGGGTGATGTAGCATCGCGTGCAATTACTGGATAAGCTTCTGTTATAAAGACAATAGAAATGCATTTATAAGGACATAACAATGGCAATAATTCATCATATGACATTTTTAAATTAAAATCTTTCCAAATTTTTTAAACGCCAAGCACCTGAAAGTATATATCTCTGTACTGTACTTTAAATAACTATTAGATTTCTAGTGTTGTAATTTTCTAAATTGAATAATTCATTTTGTGAGATTTAAATCGATAAATTTTATACTTTAAAATTGCTTTTTGCCAGTGAGCTATATCGGTTATAATAACAATAATAAATTCTATTATTACAAGGAAAATTCGTTTCGGTATACGAGGATAAATTGTATAGAATATTAAAAAGTAAATTGGTTATAAACAAGGAAAAAAACTTCAATCCTCGACTTGTCGTATAGTAAAAAATAGTTAATAGGTTAGGTTTAGTAAAAATGGGATTCCATTGGACTTCAATAAGCCATAGGACCCGTATACCTAGATACGTCCCTGGCCTGGTGCAGTAAATTTCTGATTACAATGTAAAGGGCTGATCTAATGTAGACACATTAGATCAAGCTGCAAGTACACGTGTACTTACTTGCTCAAGCTGGAAGACCTGTAAAAGAACAAATTGCTGATCCTGGGATGCCCAGAAGGAGAGCAAAATGAGCAACTTTCCCTGGGTTCCGAGGAATTAAGGGCCCACTACACAACATTTACTTCCTTGACTTTAATGTAACAATTTAATTGGCTGTAGGGTCCCAATATTCACTCGTCTGAGGGTTCTCGTTTCCCTCTGGGTGCCCTTGCCATCAGTAGATTCATATAGTCAATCCGAACAGAACAGTATTGTTGTAACAGTTATTGAAAAACTTATGTAGAAACGATACATTATTCTATTGATTATACAGTTTATTTTTTTATTTTATTAAATAAAAATATAAAAATAACAATAAGCATTATAACAGGAAATTGTTCTATCAAATCATTAATTTAAAATTAAGTAGTAAAAAATCGAATTCCGCATATTACAGAGTAAATGATACATTGAATGGTTGTTTATAGAATAAAGATCATCTGTGTATGAATTAACGAACGGATGCCGTTTCCAAAGAATAAAAACTCAGATTTATTTGTTCGTTTGTTTCGTTGGAATCGTTATTATTAATAATTGCTTCGTCCGAGCTGCAACAGTTACGTTGCTTTACGTCATCGAACAACGTTAAAAGAACGGGAAGAATTATTAAAGCGTTTAGGACAGAGAACAGGACCACCAAGAACACGACTTTGAACAGAGCCACAAAAACGTAAGCTAAAGGATACGCTAAGGGTAACAAAGATATTATTGTAGTTACACTGCCTTGAAATATAGCGTGACCTACCGATTCGATACTGTTACGCAGACTTCGACTTTGTCGATACGCGTAACACAGGTGAACGGAGTAATCGACGGAAAATCCGGCACACATGACTAAAACAATTACAGACACTTGAGCAAGTTCGACGTTCCAAAGGGCCATATAACCCAAAACAGAAACCTCTATAGAGATTATAGAGAAAACAATTGATAAAGTGACGACAGTGTCTGGCATGAAAACGAAGAAAACAACGACGACGACCAATACGACGCTTCCTAACATCTGAGCTGTGAATTTCACACGAAGATCCGCATCGTCTACCCAGAATGAAAAATATACGTAAGGGAATGCAGTAAATGGTAACTGATCGGTAACGACCCTCATTTTCTGTATGACGTCAATTTCCGCTTCTTCGTTTTTGATGGTGTTGGTCTGACAGAAGAATCTGCTTCCTAGTATTGAAGTGTAATTGGCGTCGAACTTGATGTCGTTACGGAAATTTTCGGCAGCAGGATGCTGCAGGAAAATGCGACGTAACAGCAATATGAAATCGTAACTGTCGCTGACGTTGTAAGTGTTTACCACGAGGGACATTCTTTCGTCGTTAAGAAATTCCAAGTAGGATCTCAACCAGGATTGGGTAAGAGAATCTTCAATTAGATTTTCCTCCCTCATCGTCTTGAAAATCTTCTCAATCCTCTTCTGAATCTTTACGTCTGCGTAATTTATTTCTTGGTCGATGACGATTTGAACCCTGTGTTTGAATCGCGAGAAGTGTTGGTAATCGTTGACGTAATAACTCATTAAGTACGAATCGAAGGCACAGGACTGAGAAACGTCGCCTATGACGTCGGTCTGCGTCATCCCCCAAAATCCCACGGAGACGTGAAAGGCGTAAGTCATCAGAACTAAAATTTGTATTCGTCGAAGTGACAGGAGGTTGCCGAGTTGTGTCCACATGGAAATGTCTTTGGTGTTTTCGGATTTCCACACAGAGAAAACGCCTGTGATCCACGCAGGAAACTCTAAAATAAATAAATAAAGACTACAGTTAACCGACTTTTGGGATCTGGCGTATATAGTTATTGAATATTTCTTACTGTTGGGTTCTTCCAAGCGTATGAAGTAGAGGGAATGTCTATTCTGCTTCTCGACGTAACCACAGACGGCCATGCACGCGCCCACAAACGTCAGCTGGTAAACATAACAGAAAATGACGGCGGTCGATGCGTATATACAGAAACACCTGATCATTCTGTAAGGAGCGAATATCCCCGAAGAAAATGCTAGAATATTGGTGAGGGATGTTACAGTGACGGAAACGGCCGATTCCCAATACACGTCACCAATTCTCTCCTCTACGGATTTTCTAGGATCCGTTCTTTTCCAAGAGGCCAAAAACACGAATGCGTCGTCCATTCCTACTCCTAAAATTCAATTTATTATTATTATTTATGAGAAAAATCTAGAAAGAAATCTCTTGCATAATTAGTCTTATTCTACAAGACACTGGTACGTATTGTATTCATATTTACCTAATATGAGGAAAGGTATGGATCCGCTAGAAGCAATGAATGGCACACCCAAGTACAAGATGAAGCCAAAAGACGATGCCAAAGCCATTCCTCCAGATAACAGTGCAATGAGTCCTATCCAGGGTTTGCTTTCGATCCAGTTATTGTGAAGAGACGTGGCTATTGAAAACAATAGAATTGCTATTGTTGCAAATTGCAATCGAGGTAACATTCTGTGCATAATCTTGCCGAGCTCTTCTTTGACGGAAATGGAAGTGTATTTATCCACGTGAATGAAACGAAACGAAGTTCTTGTCAAAGTATCTAGAAACTTGCGTTGCCATTCGTAAGCGATGTCATTATTGTAACTCGTTTTATCGTTTAAATAATAAAACAGCTTTAGAGCTTTGGCACTAATCACGTTGTTTTTCTCGTCGACTCGAACACCCCCCAGAAATAAGCTATTCAGGTGAAGATCAAATATCTTTTCTTTATCCAAAGGATATTTTATCGAGTAATTTCCTTTCTGCATTCCTCTAACTTGATCCTTTAATAAAAGAATAGAATTTTCGAAGCATTTCATGTTATTTTTCGCGCATATATCTTTATATTTTAAGTCTGTTACGCGCGTAACGGTGACGTTTCGAACGATGCCGTCTAATTGTAGTATCTCGTCGTATAAATCTTCTCGAAGCACGGATCCTTGGTCCTTGGCCGTAACTAGAACAATGGCTAAACAGGGGATTCTGTTCATTCTTTCCATGTTAGCGTTGGAGGATAAATCCATGGGAAACAACTTTTCTATGGTAACCTCTTCTTTAGAATGTCGTGCGTTAAGGGGTGCGAATAAATATTTTAAATCGTTATTTTCGCGCCATCTTTGAAGTCCGGTTGCCAGTAATATCGACAGGAATAATGGAATCATAATAAAATAACTCCAGTTTCTAGCCACGCACATTCCCATACTTCGAAATTTTTCGGATAAAATCTTGCTGCAATTCACGCTCATGATTTTTCTGCAAGAATGACGGCAAAATAAATAATGCAAAATCTACAAAACAATCGATTTAACCGCGAAATACCTTGACTAATTTCATTCCGAATTATTTCAACATTTGGAATACCTCCAAGTGTTGAAATAGAAACACACCTTGTGTTAGTGAATCAAAGAAATTAAGTCCCGACCTCACTCTATCTCTCCATTCCCTCGACCTTTTTCACAACCAAAATTTAATAGAATTAATGCCCCTTATATACAAGTTTCCGTGCCAAATTTCGTTTCTTAATCTTCACCCCATCCTGAGGTATTAAATAAAATAGGATCGCGCGCGGTATTTTTTTAACTTGATTTTTATTGTTAATCTGTGCCCATCGGTGGCCGAGTGGATAACACCACTAAACACTGGAAGTGGTGATGAATTCGCACCCGACTTAAGCCCGGCCGCGTGGAGTTTTCCGTGTTTCTTCAAGCACCAAACACCTAATTAGGGGGCGGTTTCTCCACAGAAAGTCACCGGCAGAGTGATGCGTTGCCACATCCCGTCGATCTAATCCTCTTAATTATTATTGCATAAAATGCCGTTAATACAGAGCGCACGTATGACGTAGCCTACCTGTACGAGTGCGAAGATATTGTTTCGTTTCTTAAATCTTCCCAGACGATCCTCTTCAACGTGAAAATCCGTAATTTATGACGGTTTTTTTCTTGGCCGTACTTCACAAATTCAATACTGAATTTCTGGTATTGTTTCTTATAATCGTCGAAGCTTACGAGTCTTCTTTATTTCTAACAATAGCATTTAGGGAAATTAAAGATAATTTTCTTTCTATTGATCTTTTGTCCTTGGGCCAATAGGTACTGTACCTGTACCACTCGAATAAGTCATGTTCCTAACAATAGCGTAACTACAACAGATATAAGGAGGGGGCCCGAATTACAACGTGCAAGTTTTCATCCATTTGCAAAAATTTCTGGCTGGTTTCAGACGTCATTTAACAATACAAATATTAGTGTACACAACCGGGGGGGACGTCCGTACGCGTAATTTCCTAAAATATAGTGGTGCCTCGTACCTCGACGCTCGTACCTCGACGTTCCAGAGTTCGAACCGTGGATTGAATGAAAAAAAAAACTGCGTAAATGCCATCTGTTTTGCACCCAAGTTGTTTCTCGCTCTGTACGCTGAAGCATCTCCTGCGTTAAGCTGGGTGTGTTTTCGGCGATTTGTTTGATTATATATAAAACCTCTACCTATAGACACTGGACACATTTCGTATATCTATTGGCTATAGAGGTTTTATATATAATCAAGGTATATAGGTAGACCACTCGAGAAGTGTGTGAAAAGCAACAGAGCCTAAGAGGAAGGTAGTAGTATGGACGATCGAGGTAAAACAAACCTATCGCATGTGTGTGTGGTCTGGGAGCCGCGTTAAAGTGGACCACCGAAAGATCGCAAAAACTCCTCCTATTGTGGATAAATGGGAAGTAATTGGCTGGTGGTATTGTCTGCGAGAATGCCAAACAACTGTATAGTGACGTTAAGAAACGGGACTAATAATTCTTCACTGAAGTACAGCAGTTATTTATTGTTTAGGATATTTAATTGTTATTTTTATCTGTGTATTTGTTGTTTAGTTTATCGAAATAGGTATCTTTTAGGGTCTGGAAACGGATTAATTGGGCTGCAATTTGTAAAAATTGTACACCTATAAATTCCCACTGTCGTTCCTTAATCTGGAGAACGGAGTTAAATAGATAAAAGCCGAGACCAGGTATGGAAAGATTCGGGGCAGGAGGCTCCGATTAACATTATACGAACTTCCGGTCCAAACAGGAAGTCACGTTTTTTCAATTCAAAAATCTCCCAAAGGAGTTACAATAGTTGAAAGGCACCATTCTATGATGTATGAGGCAAGCCACTACTAATTTGAGGAGAGCACATACTTTAAATGCAACAAATTAAAAATTGCAGCCCGGCATTATGACGGTCACGATAAAATAATTGCTCGTTCACTTTCCATTATTTCTAACAGGAAAAATTGATTCAAACTTCTTTAATTCGCTTCAGGAGCACCAGGGTATTTAAATTGTTCTTTGTCTTTGGGTATTTATCCACTTATTAGCGTTGTCTGAGACTATTGTTTATGTGGAGATTGACGTCGTATTAATGGATAATGATTGTCGATGCGATTAACAATGACGTAAATTGTTCGTTTTCGAATAAGACACGCTTGATATAACGTATAAGTTGTAATTTCTCGTGTTTAAAAGTTCTTGATATATCAATATTATGTACTGTGAAAAAATTATTTATGCGTAAATGTAACAAAACTGATGTTTATTTAAATATAAGGGCACCGTGAAGAAGTGATAACTTAATCACAGATAGATATTTGTCAACAATATATCCGTTTGATTTCAATTAAATATTCTTATGTACAGTAACATTTACAAATTATCCTCACTGGCAGTGAACGCTTTCGAGTCAACAAACAATTCAAACACCTCTCTTCTGACTCAGCCACTGTTCGATCCTCGCTTTCAATTCTTCTGCGGGTTGCACGTTGTCCATTGTCAATGGACTGCGGTTGAAGGGGTCCGTCTGATCGCTGAAATAAACAAATACTTTTAACCTTTTCCCAAAAGTCGGTTAACTCGATTTAACCAATTTTTGGACCGCTGTGTATTTTAATACTTTACCTCAATAAATGACGAGCGATGGTCGCTCGATCTACGTAAATTCCGGACGAAGGAAGTCTGACCGGATCTCTCATCACTGTGTTCATAATGGGGTCTAGGAATTCGTCGGGTGCGTCTTCCATCGTTTCCTCTTCCCTACTTTGTTCTATCGCCAGTTGCTAAGCCACGTTAAACAATACGACGTTATGAGTATAGTGTACAAGTTACACTTATGCTAGTTTAAAATGTAACTTACTCGAATTTTGGAGGCTAATTCGTCTAACTTGGTGGCTAATACTACTTGCCCGATTTTCAACAGTACGGCGTGAGCCTGAGGAAATAGTTCCTCGCTGTAGGATCTGCCATCTCTACTCACTGCCAAATTAAATGCCCTGGCTGCTTTGGTGTCTCTCGAGCCCAGATGAAGATATATTCGACAGATGTCTCTCACCAGTTCCTGGGGTTTAAATTCGTATTCTCTCAAATCTTTTACTTTGAAATTCTTCTTCTGAGGTCCCACCTGAAAACAACAATTTTTTTTTTTTTAAACATTTAACAATAGTGGTTTATCGGATTCGATCGTTTTATTCCGAATATTATAGTTACCAAATTTAAGAGGAAGTAATTAAGCATGGCGGTTATGCGGTCGACGATGGTGGGATGACAGAAAATGGAGGTGATTTCGGAGGTCAGCCACTGAAGGGTGTGAATGGTTTCGTTGCTCATGACGTTGTGGAATCTGGCCAACAGACCCATGTGCTGAAAATTTGCCTCGTTTTGCTGTCGTGTCATGGAAGGTAGGGAGGCCCATTCTCCGTTGTCCCTTTGTTGTTGCTGCTCTCTCAACTTGCTCATGTACTTTGTTTAGTAAACAGAGGCAATAATTATGTCAAAGTGTAAATTCTTACTATTTTGTTTCCTATAAGTACGTGTCTTATATGTAGAGATAAATTATTGGGGTCATTCGAATGAAAACAAGCCAAAGGAAATTGTGACATTTTGGCAGGAAATGTAGGTGATAACAGGTGCTCCACACTGAATATTTCAGGTATTATCTTGCCAAATTTAAACGGGAAACACTCTGGCATCCGGCATTTCCGGGGTGTGATGCCATTTGTCAATGGTTTAGATGGCAACTTGCAAGTTCTATGAATAAGAAAGTGACCGTTTGGTGTCACAATGGGATAACTGTCTTAACAGTTGCAATAAAAATAACTTACTAATACACCCTTTAGCTCATTTTTATTTGAATGACCCTATTTAGACTAAAACATTTGGCAATTAAACTAGATTAACGCACAATTATAAGATGTGAAGTAAGAGTTATTTTTTCAGAGTGGTTTAAAACTTACCGACAGAGCTTCGTCTAATAAAAATATAGCATCGTTAATTAGAAGATTGATGAACCTTAAAAACAATGGAGGATGAGCCGATTCGATCAGTTCTTCAGCCTCCTTGGCTAATTGCTAAGATGTTATGTTGAATTTTTTAAATTTAATTCTTTTAAATGTTTCAAATTAACTCAAATTTTACCTTCATTTTCTCTTTGTGTACATCAATGCCCCAAATGTAATCTAAAACTAAATACATTGGTCTTCGATACTGAAATTTCTCTTCAAAGGCCACGCTCTGCCCTGTCATTTCGATGCTGACGAACACGTGAAGCAGAGTGGGTACAAGCTCCGAAATGTATGGGTGCTCCTTAAATAAACGCTCCCTATAAACGCTGAAAATTTAAATAAATTAATTAATTACAGGATTCGCTAATATTAAACTTAACAAATGCAGGAAAGCTCTTCACATTTTAACTTACACACTTATATTAGAAATACAACAGATAAGATATATCCTTGGAAGACATTATACAAACAGTATGGTCCATAAATATTCAATTTCTGTCCTAAAGCACAAGAGATTAATACATACATTGAATAAAAAAGTATGATCCATTGATATGTATTAAGGCTTTAGCAGTCCTACAATTTTTAGAGAACCACAGAAATTCCTCTTTTTTGACTATTTTGAAGGATTTAATTTACTAATTGTAGCTGTATATTCGTTCAGTGAATGGTTGTCTCTTTAATCCGAATATTTCTCTCGGTAGACTATCTTACAGCAAGTCAGGTCCAGAAACTCTTATTGTATTTTCAATTCATATGCATTTCAAACTGGTTTCATTTTCCAGTTCCTCTTCAGTGCTCTACAATTACAAATACAATTACAGAATTAAATGCATATGAATTGAAAATACAATAAAAGAGTTTCTGGACCTAACTTGCTGTAAGATAGTCTACCGAGAGACATATTTTGAAGGAGACAAACTAAAGTTTCAATTCCAATTTGGAAAATACAAAATAGTCTTGAGGGAACAAATGTGGTGAAAGGAGTGATAATGAGTAGAATTTCTTGTGTGTCAAAAGTTAATGCATGCATTGGATTGTCTCCTGAAATTCATATAGTAAAACTTTTTTCCTTCCAGTACAAATTCTTTGTGAACTGCAATCAAAAAATGATAATCATTTTCAGTGCGACTTTTCAAATTTCAATTTTAAAGTTCTGAATGAATTGACGGAGATGTCTCACCAACCCATTCAGAACTTAATTATTGTTTTGAAACTGTAAACCACTTACAGTGTCAAAAGAAATTTTCCTTTGCATCTGCCATTGAGTTTATCTTGTCAGGGCATCATTCCAATCTTTGTGCTTGTTTTTGTCCCACATGCCTTGACAAACGAACAAACTTTCCTCTTCTTCAAATCATCATAAGATAGCAATGGCTTTGATGTTCAGTCTCAGTTATCATCTGTGATGGTGAAGAATGATCAACAAATAACTTGGCAGCAGCAACATTTTCTTTTGTTGAAGTCAATAGTAATTGGCAACAAATGCTCTCTCATGAAATCATGAATACACAGACACAATGAGGCTGTCTGGACTGTTATATGCAGTATATCAATTAGCCTTTAATCCCTTTGCTAATATGTAATACAAATATTAGTACATAAATTTATTGATAGTGCATAATCTTATTGAAGGGTTAATATTTGTACAAGCATATTTTATTGTAATATGCAATGTTGCCATTTTAGTCTTTTTAAACTAGATATAGTCTTACTTTTGAATTTAGTTTACTTTTCTATGTAGTTTTTTCTAGTCTTTTTTGCAATACATTTTTACTGTGTTAAAAATTTTTTTCATTCCATGATTTACAATGTTACCAACTGCAGCATAACTATCAACTTATACCATAATTTGTAGATAGATTTCAACAGTAACTTATGCTACACTGAGTAACATAATTTTACTGTTTTAGTAATTTTTTTTTGAGTACAAAATCCAAAACAAAAATAAAGTTTTAATTGAAGCAAGCAAGCAAGCTTCCCTGGTATCAACTCAAATTGATAAATTGCTGAAACACATCTTGTGAAGAAATGATTTGCCCATTTTGATAGAACTAATAAAACGGCATGTTGTGATGGAGGCAGAATTTTAAAATCTGATCTAGAACAGGAGATACTGATAGTCAAAGGTCATCCCCATGATAAGTCAATGGGAAATTTGTCATTGTAAAAATGTAAATAAATGAACATGTGCTACACAACATTAGAAATATAGCAAAACTCTTGCCAATTTCTGTTTTTTCCTTATTTATCTCAAAAATTGATCATGTATACCTTAATCCATATACCTTAAACTATTATACCTTGTATAAATTTTTTCAAAAAGCAATTAATAACAACAGTACAATCCAAAACTCAATATTAGTCTATAAAAGAAGTGAATTGGAATTTTTCCCAATTTTACAGGTTTATTTTTGTTATAAACAGGAATATTTTAAACTACATTAATAGTGGTATGTGTAAAATGTTCCCACCACATCAACTTTTATTAAGTAAGTTAAGAAGTTTTAGAACAAAGCTAAGAATTAACTGCTTGTGTAGAGTGACAAGTCACTTTAATTTAGTGCCCTTTAATAATCTAAAGTGAGTTTAAAGCTGTTGCTGTGTTTCAATCAGGGATGAAGTTCTCCTAGTTTAAATTCATTTTAAATTACACTTTGCAAAATCTGCACCCTCTTCTGTGTATATATCTGGCTTCTTTTTTGAAAAAGTCAAGTTAAATTTTATCCATCCTTTACCCATCCTTTACCAATAAACTGCCTAGAGTTTTGGACCAAAAACTTTCAATTATAATCTATTGATGTCCAAAGGCATTTGTATGTACAGTGCAGTCAAGGTGAATTATCAAATGATATAAAAAAAGAAAAGCTGATCAATAATCACTGGTGCAAAAGTTTTTTTCAAAATTAATTTAATTAAAATAAACATTCACAACAAACTATCAATGGTTTTTTTTATTAACTTCCAAAAGTACCAATAAAGAATTTTTGACAGGCATTTAACAAAAAACAAAGCTAAGTGCTATGAATGTGTTATAAATACTTTGTTTGTTTAATTTTGTCTGTTTGTCAAAATCTATGCATCAGTATGATCTAGACCCTAGGTGGGGAACCTGCGGCATCCGCGAGGTTCTTGTGCGGCCCTTTGCCACCTAGTACAAAAATGGTAGAGTTCGTTTCAAACAACTATTGTACATCAACGCCATGACAGTTGCGCGAAAAATCCCGCCAAAGATCTTAGTCTTATTGTAACATGACGTCAGAATACTAGTCTGAAACGGACTCTAACACGCATGAGCGAGGCTCTGGCCCACAGACCATCCGTTTCAGACTTGGACACTCAATGTTAATTTTTTAAAAAACTGTTTAAAAAGCGCTAGCAGCGCCAACTACCTTGTCTAAGAAGTAAACAAAACTCGGTTTCAGATCTCCCATTTGAGTGTCACACCTTGCTTTGGCTTCTCTGACTCGCATCGCTTCCCTGTTGCGATCTTCAGCAAACTGTAGTTAACAGTGAGTGCTTATAACAGTTACACGGTTTTATTGTATTTCTAGAAAGTATACACTTTGTGAAAGATATTATTTGATATTCGTTTTTTTATCCATCATGTCAAATAGTAAGAGAAGAAAATTAGGTGATGAAAACAGAACATTTAATGTAGAATGGGAGTTAGATTTTTTCTTTACTGCTGAGAAAGATAAANATAATTTAAATTGTTTACGAATTTTTAAAATTAATTAATGTATTGTCATAATTAATTTTGAACATTTTATTATTTTGTGTTAGACGGAAGAACCATTATATAAATCATACATGTATTAGTTATTACAACTATTAATTTATTGGTAAAGTTAATAGCTGTATAAATAACTGCTATAATAAATGGAACACTAGCTGACATATTAATCAGACTAATAAATATAAATTTTTGTTTATTCGGGTTAATATAATAAGAAATACAAATAATAGGAAAGCACTATAGAATTGTATCTGTCTATAATGCTTTATCAAGCGTACGACGTTATACACTTTCATAAATTTTGTTTCTTTACGTGTATGATACAGTTCATCAATTGTTATTTCATCACTCAGTAATCGAATTTAACTGTTAGTGATCAAATTACTTTCATTATTTTTACAACATTATAAGACGAAATTTCTAATAATTAAAGAAGACTTTTACATAGCTTAAAATACAGTAAATTTTAAATTTAAATTGATTTTTAGTAATATAAATAGAATCAAAACTTGCGTTACCAACCGCTTGGACTTATTAGAAAATGATATTGTAGTTAAATAAGTTTAGTTTATTCTATTTTAGATACTTATATAGCAGCTAAATTTAAAAAAAAAGAAAATTATTTCAGATTCATAAAATTATTTAAATGTATAATTTTTGAATTTATTTTTAAATAAAAAAAAATTCTGACAAGTTGATTATGATGAATGTTTGGGTTAAATAAAAATTTTGGAACTAAAATTGTATAGAAGTTTTCGAAACCACGATAAATATTGTATTGTGAAGTAATATTGGACGATTATAATGTTTGTTTCCAGAACAGAATACCCTACTAACATCTTTTTAATATCAGAACACATTTAATATTTGCACGTTTTAGAAAGTTAATTCGATTTTTATTAGTTTCGCCATCAGATAAGCATATTATTAAAAACGTAACGCCATTTTCTCTATTGTATATTAAAGTTTTTATTTTATTTTATTTTTTCTGTATAGAGCAATAAATTGTTAAATCTATAGAAAAACTATAATAATTTCCCAAAAGTCACTTTCTTAGGTCAAGCAGCTTATGCGGCCTCTCTTATTGCTGCCTAATTTAAATGTGGCCTCTAATGGTAAAAAGGTTCCCCACCTCTGACCTAGCTAATCTGCAGATTAACTAGGGTGATCCGTTAAAGCTGCGAAAATTATTCAATTTCTCAAATTACCTAGGTAATCTGCAGATTATCTAGGTAATCCGCGAATTACCTACTAGGCACTCGGTAAAGTGAAAATAAGATCTTTGCTGGAACAACAGCAACGTTTCTGTACGCTTAAATTAACATAATGTTATTTATTTAANTTATTTTTTCTATATAATGCAATAAATTGTTAAATCTATAGAAAAACTATAATAATTTCACAAAAGTCACTTTCTTAGGTCAATCAGCTTATGCGGCCTCTCTTATTGCTGCCTAATTTAAATGTGGCCTCTAATGGTAAAAAGGTTCCCCACCTCTGATCTAGACTAACTAAAAACCCTTGGGCAATGAGCCAAGAAAAATGCCTCTAAGGGAAACAGGACCAATTACCAGTGTTCAGTGGTTTTATCCACTCACCCACTGGTGGGCACAATTACCCTTCTTCCTTGATTTATTTCTTATTCTTATGTAAATAACATGGAGTTACCTACAACACATATAAAGTATTGGTGTAATATTTTAATTTAATTTACCTGGGTGTTACTTTTCATTGTTTTTAAAATGGTTTAATGGATGTAAAAAGTTTGGTTTATTTTCAAAAAACAAAATTTAATCACAATTCAGCAACAAATGCAGTTTTTGTTGTTGTTATAACTCAGCAACTGTTGCTAGATGCATTCAGAAATTTCTACTACTTAATTAGCACATTGGCCAATACATCACTTCACTATTGTTCTGACAAAAAATTGAGTTGTAAACTTATGGACTACCCTGTGTATACCATTTTTCTAGAAGGCAAATTTTGGTTTTCTTATATATAACATAATAGGAATTTTTCAACAAGGATGCTTATGGGAGTATTAAATAGTGTATGAATCACAAAGTTAGTTTGCTTTCAAATTTACTTTTGAGTTTGAAAGAAAACTTAGATCAAGATTATTTTTATCTTAATTTGCATAATTTTACCATGGTATTAATGTATTATAATGTTCTCCCTCTTTGGCAGGCATTAGTGCTTCTAATAATTCGGACAGTCTGGCTCTCATATGGGGATTTTTCATTCGTTCTGGACTTCCCATAAACACCAGGACCAAAGTAATCAAATGATCCAAAACTGCTCCAGAAATCTGAACAAAAACAATTTTTTTAGATAAACAATTTAAAAATTAGTATCAAATTGTTTGAAAAATTACCTCAAATGTTTTTGAACTAAATCGATGAATGAATAAAACACAATCAGCAATATTCTCAATAATAAACTCTGGGATGGTGCGAAGATGACAAGGTACTTCACTCTGTAATGGTAGAGTTAGAGATTTAAACTGCGAGTGATCAAAATTTGTTGCCACATTTATTAACCAGGTGGCAGTCGCTATGTGGAACTTCAGCATGGAATCCAAGGTCTGTGGTTCCAGAAGGGCAGCTTTCACAGATAAGAATTTGGTCATTCCTAAAAATTGAATTCTATTTTTGATTAGTTAGAAGCTTTACTTCAAAATAATAATAAAATTTAGTTAACCTTTATCCATGTTTTCCTTAATTCTCTGAACTACATCTGCAGATTCCCCACCCTGAATTCTGGCTTCTTCATACACCCTTTGAATTCTGCCCAATTCTTGGCTCAATTTAACTAAACGCTCGTGAACTACGTGAAATCCCAGAGCAAGAGCACGGTGAGTGGCAAAAAAACATTCCGTAGGAAAGTTATATTTTGTATTCTGAACATCTGGCAATTCATTCTCTTCGGAGGGAATGACAAATGTTTCTTTATTTAAATCTAAATTAATTATTTTTGATTGTCAACAGTTTCACTTAATTAATAATACAATTTATAATTCACTTCAACAATTTGAAAGTTGATTACAATTAATTAATTGGATATGATAAGCCAATTACACATACCTTTTAAGTGAATAGATCTTTCCCTGGCATCTTCATTGTTTAAAGCACGAGCGGCACAATACGTTGGATTGATTTTTAGAAGTTTGGGAGAGAAAGGTTGGCTGAAAGGACTACACAGCTTTAGTAAAACAGCACCAAAATTCAACATGAATCCGTCGGAAGACTGAACGATACCAAAGATTTCGGGCAGCTGATTGTTCCAAAGTTTTGCTCTATCTAATAAGAAATAATGAATCTCAAGATTAAAATCTCAATATTATAAATATGTTATAAATCTAATGTAATTCAAGTATTTGGAAATATTTTGACATAAATTTATTGCACTTTGCAACAGAATTAATAACTGCTGATGATAATTTTCATTAAAAGATAATATGAGAGAAGGATAAACTAATGAAAATCTAGTTTTGCATAAACGTACTGTATATAATATACAATTATAGCATACTACGATTATACACCAATAATGATCACACAGGTATCAATCAATCAGGCATTGTGCATATACACAATACCTGATTGTTTTATCTTTTTACCATATATAATCAAACAGACCTCAATATATATACAGTCAAACCTTGGGTTTTGAACTTAACTCATTTCTAAAGGTTGTTCACAAACCGAAACAAATTTTCCCATAATCAATATAATATTAAAGCAAAATGTTCCATCACTGCCATCTGAAACCAAAACTTCAAAAGTACTGTAAATAGAGCAACTTTGACTGCCTGGATGAAATATCACCAAATCAATCAACACTGACAACAAGTACTGTACTTTGTCTACACTTTCCGAAATATTATGTTTCAATTTTATTTTCAGTGTAAAGGTCAGTTTTAATTATTATTTTACTATTTTTTCTTTTAATTATTTTTAGTGTAATTAACTGCTAACTAGTATCAATAAATATTAATATTCTTATATATATATATGTTAATAAGTTTTTGTCATTTAATTTAATTTAAGCATATTTAAACACAAATTCTTGAATGCTTTTTATATTATGTGAATGTCAATTAATTAATTTGATTTAAAATTGATTGTGGCATGTACCAAAAAAGAGAAATAGTACCTTTCCCACATGCACACTAAAATGTAATTTAAATGGCAACGTCGTCAATGATTTGTATTGTGATGTAATCTTGGTGTCAGTAGTCCTGTCATTGATTGGTTGGGCTGTCAACTTCCTATACTTCCTCACATTAAAGAAAGTTGACCATCAGTGGCTGGCTCTGCCAAGTAACTTGTTTGGCAACCAGGACAAAACAAAAAATTCAAAATTTTGTTTGTAAACTGAGGTTTTACTGTACTTGTACATTATATATAAATAATATTAATTATACTATTTCCCACAAAAATTAGAGAACTCTTTAGTATCTGCAAATCACTGAAAATTACAATTTTGACTTTCAAATTCAAATTTGTCACAGTACATTTTCAATTTCAAGTGTTATTGCTTTGCATGTGTTTTTCTGTTGTCTTTTTGTATTTTTTAAACTTCTTTTGGGCTTGTTATTATTGGGGGTAGGGGTAGAAATCAACTACCTGATGGTATTTCCAAAATTCAATATAAAATAAGTAAATTTTCAACTCAAATGATTATATTGCCTGAAGCTAGAAATAATATGATACATATTCAAATTATCAAGAAAGACAATCTGTTCATGTTAATGACATGACTACACAATAAGATGATAGTCTATAGCTATGAAGAATCAAAAGTTGAGTCTGATCTAGACTGCCATAATTAATCAAGGACAAATAGACAATTGGAACAATTCAAATGAGGGTCAGATCGATCTATAAATGGATTAAAGTGTGGCTGGTGACATAGTTTTAACACGTAAATATCTTGCGTTGACAAATAACTTACAAATTGATTACTCTATCCATATTCATGATTAATTTGTAACTTATGCTTTAATTTGGAGATCATGTTAGGATACAATATTTAAGTTTTCTATCTTTTCTCTTAATATAGCAAAAATTCTACATACCTAGCAACTGTTTGACATCATTATAACAGAAGAAATGAAATAACATTATTTCATTTATATCATTGGGATTTTAAACTAATTCAAAATACAAAATAGTATTTAAAATAAAATGCTGAATTTGGATCTGCATTTAAACTTGCAAAATCACTCCAAAGCAAGTTATAAGAATTTATAGTAATGGACAAAATATCTGGCTATTTTTGAATCTGGCAATCTGTAGTACAGTAGTATTTCACTATGCAGCTGCTTTTTTTTGTTTTGGTAGTGTAAGAGTTGCACAATGTCAGTTCCAGATTGACTGTGAGTATATAGTATATTAAAAACAGTTTAATTCTTTACTTTCCATTGTTTATTTTGTCTGTGTCCAGAAAATCAGAAATCTGCACCACTTCCAGTCCCAAACTTGCCATATGCTTAGTCCAATACTGCATAATTATTGTTAAAGATTGCAATAGCAAGGAATGATAATTTGAGAGCGAATAAAACATTTCTATGACCCAAAAGTGATATTTTCTGATATATTTGTTTTGGATTTTTGATGTGTATAGGAATAGACAACACATTCTTTTACATCCTGATTTTAATATATATATATACATCAAATAGCCATGAAACTTATATTGATATTTGGCTATATAGAACAGTGAACTGATTTATATTACTGTTAAACGTTTTTAGAATATCTGTGTTATAAATAAGTGAAATGAATATCTTGTATAAAACTATTCTGCATATTATTAATACAAAAATTAACTTTCTATTAAAAACCAGTTAAAAGAAGAAAATTACATAATGTGACAATAATAACAGTTTAGCTTACATAAAAGAAAATTAATTTAATGTTAATCATCCTTTACTGTTTTATTTCAAATGTGTGTATGTATTTGTACTATGAGCAAATCAATTTTTAAATTAATATCACTTAAATAGTTGTTTAGTGATTTTAAATGTAATAAGAGAGTTCTCATTAAACCTCAAAATTTCTACACATACTCTCCATACCTGATATTTCATTTGGAATGCAATTGAAAAAATAAAATGTAGTTTTTCAGTGAGTGAGATGTGTTTCCTGATTTAATGAGGAACTTGTATTTTTGATTGGAATTAAAAATTGTGATTGTTTTTACCAAATAGTTTATACGACAATAGTGGAAACTGGCAACAAGCTTCTGCTTACCACGTAGTGGTTTGAGGAGATAATTATGTTAATACCCAAAAAGTCTCCTTATACACACGATATAATTGGAGTGATCCATTTGTATCATGTGTATAAGGAGACTTTTTGGGTATTAACATAAAGTTTTGAACTTAATATATCTCTCAATAATTAGAATGACTGGAAGAGGTGTTATTTGCACTAGGTATGACTGTTTTAATTACAAGATACAAAGTGATCGCAAGTTGTTTTACAGATTCCCTAAAAACAAACAAGTATAAGTAAATTAATAAGCAATTTGATTGTTTTCATTTATATGAACATTCCTCCTTTAAAATATTATCATCATTCAACATATGTATTTTCAGATGCACTCAGTGGATTATTAAGATCAGAAGGACTGATTTTGAAAACAAAAGAGCCAGAATATTTAAATAGAAATTATGTCATGTGTTCCAACCATTTTACAGAAAAAGATTTCAAAAACAAAAATCTCTTAAGCCAAGGGCATATAAAATTGTTTATTTGTTCACTTAATATAATTCAATGGTGTTTTTTTACCTATTTTTTTTTGTTCCTCTCACTGAATTAGAAGTTTACAATCTAATATTGAACTTATCACTAATTGTCCACAAACAGATTTTATTTAGTTTCCTATCATTGCACTTAACTAAAAACTTGTTTTACATATGTTACAGGATCTGGCCTGGTACAGTACCCTCACTATTAATTTATAATACCAAACCCAAATAAAACTAGAAGAACGTTCAAATGTAGAAATGTATATCAAAACATGATTGAACACAAATATATCATGTCATATATGTGTTTTAATTTAATAAAATTATATTAAAACCTCCGATTTTAATTTTAAAAATCTGACTCTTATTGCATTTGATTTGTTTTATTGCTATTATTTCTTCCTTTAAATCACTATCCATCCACATTTCCTACTAAATAAAATTATAATTTATGTTTTAAGATAATAAAATAAAGACAGAAAGATGCAAAAAAAAAAAAAATGCAACAAAGTAAATATTTTATCAAGTTTTATTAATCTGTGGTGTTAATGTTCTAGTCGAACCGCTAGATGTCACTAGTTTTCTCTAATGCCGCTATGGTACATGCTAATTCACGAAGGTTTCCACTATTGTTGTACAAACTACTTTTTTACTTTCCTGACTCTGGTAAGAAATGATCCCCAAGATATTTACATTTTTGGAGTCAAAATTGTCATTTTTGGACTCAGGATCTTAAAACGTTGAGAAATGCAAAAAAAAATTCAGGGTTTTTTTTGGTGTGTGTGTAAATTTTGGTGGTTAAAGATTGATGGGATGGGAAGATAGACGGGGTCATGTGTCATATTCTATGTAGGGTCATACTTAATGATTCTACTCATTATTAGCATTTACAACTTTTTATAAAACTCATCCCCCACTCTCAAAATAAACTTTTTGGAATAAAATATCATAACAACTTGCCACATGCAATTTTAAATGTTACTGAGAAAGTTAAGCAACTTGTTGCTTGATTTTTTAGTTTGGAACTTAGTTTTTCCTCTCTCATAAAATGTGCTCTCTGGAATATATTTAACACATTTATATCAATTACAATGTGCTTTGAAATAAAAATATCTGTAATTATAATACAGAAGAATTTGATTATCAATAGGGACAGGATTTTTCTGGAAGGCTATTTCACATAACGTGCATAAAAACAAATTTTGGGTGATATAGGACCCTTAATTAAGGAGTTATAAAAATCATATTTGAAAGGCCAGAGAATACTTCTCATAATTTTGGAATAAACTGGATCAAAAATATAGAAAATATTTCAAAAAGTAGTACTAATATACTCCTTAACTAAAGAACAAAGAATTTAAAGGAATCCTAGAGAAATAGTGGAAAAAATATCTGATGAATTGACTTTAAGAAAGGATTACTTGCCAGAGATGTATGCCAAATGCATTGAGTCAGTTTAAGACAACCAAACATTCTTTCCTTTGAGTTTAAGTGTCAATGAAACCACAGCTTTATTGGAAAGTGTGTAGTAAATGTCATTGTTGGAACACTATATTCAGCATTTAACACTGAGAAGGAGGCAGATGAGGAAACATTTTTAATTCATATATCATTTGTTGAGCAAACTAATCACTTAACCACTGCCAAACAGTTAATGACACAATCAATATTCATTGTGTCATTAACTGTGTTTGGCAGTGGAATAGTTTATGGCCAGTGGGAATCCAATAAGAGAGTGTGCTGCTTTTTGTAACAGCACACACTCATTTTGCAGCACTCTTTATGATGAAAGCAGGAAAGTTAATGTTTTTATCTGAAAATGCTTCATACTACATGCATGGATCACTCATTAAATTGTGTCTGTTAAAAAAAGTACTTGAAACATTAATAAATTAATCTTAAGTATGAAAAAAAGTGTCCGTGAATGTGCATTCAAGAAGATAGGAGTTTATAGAAGATATAAAAAGAATCATTTCAAGATTCAAACTGGATGATGCAATGAGCATAGAAGATGCCCAGTTATTTTAGAAAAAGAACTAATGAACATGAATTAGCTTTTATCAAAACAAATTTTGAATTTCTTGAAAAATGCTATAACAACATTGGAAGAAAGGATGCTATTGTGTACTGCTATCAGTTTGCCTTAAAGTGTTGAAGAGAAACTATGAAATTCAAGAATCAGTAGCTAAAAAAATACACAAAAAATGTATTTTTATTTAAAACAAATTTGAAGAATGGAAAGATACTAAGGAGTTAGCCAAAATAAGAAATGAAAAAGGAGACTTGATTCTTTCCCTTTCAGCTGTGAAAGTAGCTTCATTCATTTTTGTTCCTGCTATTTCATGTAATGGCAAAAGAAGTTTTTCATGATATGCAGCATTATTAGGGAGAAACAGAACAAACTTTACAACTGAGAACTTGTAAGCAAAATTTTGTTACACATTGCAACCAATTTTGTAAATAAACTAATATAAGAGAAAAAAATTAATCAGAACATGTTTGAGCTTATCAATTTTTTGAGAATATTTTCATGATTTCAGGGAATATAGGTACTGTACATATCTTCAATTTTTAATAACATAATTATCAGCCTTATCAGTCAGATAATGTTTATTAGATAACTGTGATTTTAGCAAGTCCTAAAACATGTTAAGTGAATTTTATCATAATCAGAGTTTGTTATGTTTATTTATATCTAAACTATCTTATCATGCTATTGGTTGCCAATAGTGCTTCAAATGTTTATTATTGTATTGCAAACAAGTAAATTACTATCATTTCTTACTTCAATCATATGCTAAATAAATTACTATTAATTAATAACAACAGTTATTAAATTATCTTCAGTTATACATTTATTCTTATAATTGTTAATTCTTTTAAATTACAGGTAACCCCCGTATAACACGGTAGTTACGTTCCAAAAAATTGCCGTGTTATGCGAATCCGTGTTATACGAAACAAAGAACTAATACGAAAAGAAGGGTTAGGTTCCAAAAATTAAAAAACATGCTAGTATATTTTCATAATTAAGATAAATATCTTCATAAAAATTTTTTAAGTGATACATATTAATATAAATTAAACAATGTTTTCTTCGTCATCACTAAAAACACTATTAATTAACCGAGAGCATTTTCTTTTTGGCAAGTTATCCTTATCCTCTGAGCATTTTTCTGCATTATCTTCAGATCCATGCTTTATCTTTTGCAAAAAGTATGTAATTTTAGATTGCTTGCTTCTAGTTAAAAGGTCTTTATAAATTTCCTTATATGGTGCTAAGCACTTATGAAGAATAAAGCAAGTATGGAATAAGGGGAAAATATTTGGCAACATCAGAAGCAGAAGCGTCGCGATCTGGCAACATTGAAACAAGTTTCGAGAAGGACCACGTGTATTGACAGAAGGCAAGAAAAGAAAATTTACATACTTAAATACTAATAGTTCATGAAAATAATAATTTTCGTGAACTATTATTACTTAAGTATGTAAAAATTTATTACATTTCATGTTGTACGAGGGTTTTACCCAATTCTCGAACCGTGTCAGAGTGAATCCGTGCTATAAAAGTACCGTGTTATACGGGGGTTACCTGTAATTAATATCAGAGTCAGTGGAAATTTTGGTTTTAGTCTTATTAACTGACTGATAATATTAAGCATTGTATTTTCTAATTATTTTAATACAATAGAATCTGCCTGTAAGATTATTGAAATTTTTAATGACAGCATATACATTTTAGTTCTTATGCTATTTCTTGTGAGTTCTATTTTTGTTTAATCACTGATAAAATAAAAAAACAGCTCCTCAGTAAATTGAATATACTGAAAATGTAAATTACCATTATTTGCTTGAAGACAACAGCCAATCCACGTAAGTAATTTGTGTTTAGTTTCTGGTGACTGCCTCAGCAAATTATAAAATATTTGATACATTTCTTCAGCAATACTGGAAAGTGGCTAAAATAAATAAATTCTCATTAGTAAAATGTAATAAGCATACAAATTAACATATATGATGCCTGCTTTCATTTAGATATTTCATACACACAAATCAAATTATATACGAGGGGAACCAAAAAGAAAACCCAAACTGAGAGTGCGCTGCCATTCATAGATGTAGCAGAGAGTTTTCCCATTACCTTCACGAAACAACTGTGCAAATGGTGTCAGTTTGTAGGTTTACATTTGAGCATAGTGTTGTGTTTCTCTTACTGTTATTTTGTTCCACCTGCGAAGTTCTGGGAGTCCTTCAACATCTCGAAACGATGAAAATGTTGAAAAAATCCGCCAAAAAAGTGTTAAGACATCTGCGAGAGGATGTGCGAAGGAAACGCCTGGAACTTTGGCAATCAGGTGACTGGTTCTTTCATCACGAAAACACCCCCCGCACACATGGCCTTACGAGTGACTCACTATTTGGATGGTTGGGGATGGCCTGTCGTTCCCCACCCTCTGTATTCATCAGCCCCATGAGACTTTTTTCTGTTTCTGAGAATGAAGAAAAATGTAAAAGGGAAGCGTTTTGATGTTGTGGAGGCTGTAAAAACAGTTTTGCTAAGGGCACTGGACGATATCAAGGTTGAAGAGTTCCAGCGATGCTTCAAACAGTGGGGAAAAAGACTTCACAAGTGCATTGCATCTAATGGAGACTACTTTGAAGGTGACTGAAGAAATTTTGTAAAAAAGTTAACCAGATTTTTTTGTACAAAAACTATTATTTTTGGGTCCCCACGTATATGTATATGACATGCATGTCATATACATATGTATAATTTGATTTGAATTATTTTGAATGCCAAGATTTTTATTAGATTTATATGTATAAACAAGTAAAAGACTGCATAAGAACATTCAGAAAAGAGAGTAAATATAATTAATATGTTAGTATTTCTCAAAAATATATAAAATCTAATTCACACAAAAAAGAAGTAACTTACCATCCATAAATTTTGTTCAGTAATGCTGTGTTCTTGTGCACTGTAGAGAGATGGAGTGTTAAAAAAATCGTAACCATCTGTTTCTTTACGAGGCAAACAGGATATACTTAATGGAGCACCTAATAAACTACTCTGGTATGCTCTAGCACTGCCCAAATCAGATGGAATGCTGTACTCAATCATAGCCTAATAAAATTAAAATAAATGTGTTTGAATACATTGTAATGTCTAATTTATTTGAAGCCAGAAAATCACGTAACGTATGATGTTACATAAACAAGGGTCAGTTGCTTGGTGCCAGGCCTGGACTTTTGTTTGTGTTTTTTGCCCATTTAAATTTGTTCAAACATAAAAGATTGACTAATGTATGAAAAAAACCCAAAATAAATACTAAAATTTAATTCTTTTTTTGATGCATAATCATTATATAACTGTCTATATACAATATTTAATAGTAATAAATACAAAATAAATTGGTAAAAACAACAGTACAGTTTGTAAAATTCAATGATAATTTTATCTAATCAAGTCCAAAACCAACAAGTCTGTACGAAAAAAAAAACTTTCCTGACACTTAAACTTAGTATAAGATAATTCTAAGTTTCCAAGTTTATCTCCACAGAATCCATCAATATGAAAAATGGACTATTTACAAAATTCACAAAAAAGTTTTCTGATCTAACTCGCCTAACTGTCACACCAAAAGGAAAAATTCATCTCAAAATCTTTGCTTGTCAATCACACTCACTCAGGAAGTTCACTTCATCTGTCTTTGGTCTTGTTGGGTCTTTTATATTTACTGGTATGATGTAACAAACAGCCAAACCATTTCAACTCATTTACATACTTATACTAACAATTGTTATTAACTTTTTCCTTTGCAATCTTTTGACATTTGTCTTTACCAATCTTTACAAAAAAGATTATTTCTGAATTTTAGAACCAGTCACAATTGGGATTAAGAGACCATTCTTTAATTCCTATTTGGAAATCACTCAATTTGAAATGCTATAGTAGCTTGGTGACATAGGCGGTATGGGTGTCAGTCATGGTAAGACTTCTTTTTTTCAAATTTAGACTTTTCTTTTTCAGTTGGGTGTGAAGCTTTTGTTCTTTAACAAAATAAAACATCTTCAAAATAAAAACAACAAGAACAACTAAAAACCCCAAAATAAAAGTAAAATTTGGACTCTACTCTTTACAATTTATATTTTTTGTTATATTACATAATTTTTTCCTATATTTTTTCTTTAAAAAATTAGTATTATTTTGATGATAACTATATTTGTCTTAAAAATTTTTAATATAAATTTATTTAAATATACTAAATCGTATAATTTAAACTTGTAAGATGAAAATTAAACAACAAAGATAAATTAAAATAAAGATAATATGAGTTGCTTAAAGTTTTAATTACATCTCTCTTTTTATATTCATATTAATCTTTATTTAAATACATACATGGAAAAATAAAAAGTTTATATCAAGCTGTGCAAGATTAAGCTCTAATATACATTTCAATTCAATTGGAATATGGATATGTACTACTATCAAACTACTGAACGAAAAAATTTATGTGGAATCTTAAATTATAAATCAATATAACATTTATTCTTCATAACTTGCAGCAATTTTATTTAATATTAACTAATTGATCTGTGTATCTAATTTTGTTTAAAGATTTCAAAGTATTCTTAATTTAAGAGAGTTTATTAAACAAAGTAACATTTATTTTTCTTTAACTCCAACTTCTAAGCTTAACTTCCTCCATTGTTATAGAGATTCTTCCACCAGATAAAACTAATGTATCAATTTTCTTTTCAGAACTAACCACCAAAATTCAGACTGGTTCAATTATGAGAAAGCCAATCTGACAGAAAATATGCTGACTGACTATAAAATGACTATGTTGAGGGAAGGAGTATGAAATTTTTGCTAATTACCAGGTCCAGACAGTTTCTCTGTATAGATTTTTATGAACAGTGTATTCCTATTATAATCACATCTAGTTCTATGCTATATCTAGTTAGTTCTATGCCTGACAATTAATTCAGGGAGAGAATTATGTCTGAATCAAATACTTGGATATTAAATATCTAGAATAATTGTGTGTACATGGACAGAGCTCTATTAATAAAAAATACTTATGATTTGTATCCAAGTGTTGTTATTTTCTGTCCCTGACTCTCAACATTGATTGTTAAGAAGGCATGTCTTGTATTATGCATGAGTAACTGTAAAGGTTTACATAGCCAACTGCTTAAGCCTGACCACAGACCTCACATAAACAACCAAGATAATTACATAGAATAAATAGTTTGCTAAAAGTGTGTATCAACATTTATATTAAAAGACTTAAGTTAATATTGAAAAGAATAGGGGGCGTGACTTGACCGTGAGCGCTGCTGGTGACTTTGTTTCTACACCTCGACGTGAATCTAGAATTTAGTGTATTTTTTCAATTTTATTATCTGAATTAATCAAAAGTGTTTAATACTAATAAGAAATAACCAAGTTCGAGGAAAATTAATAATTAATAAGTATGCAACGTTCACCAAAAAAACGTGGTAGGCCGCCAACTAATAGAAGCAAACCGGAAAGCAAAAAGACGCAACCAGGTACATCTAATTTCAAGCTTATAACAGACTACAACTTATCAATGGATAAAGAATTACAGGAATCGTCTACGGAATACAATGGTTCACATATGGATATATCTAAACAAAATCTACAAAGTTTTTCAGGTGAGTCCAATGTAATTAATTCATCTACTCAAATAAGCTCAAATGACACTTTAACAGCAGATCTATGGAATAGGATATCTGAATTGATTAATACTTCTAATGATAAACTATCTGCACAAATGGAATATATAAAAGAAGAACTGAATTTAATTCATGGTACTATACGGGAAAATAAAATTCAATTTGAAAAAATGGAAAGTTCAATAGATAATCTAAAAATTCAAATTGACAATTTAAAATCTGAAAAGGAACTGATACAGTATAAAATGGATACTCTAATTAATGACTGTCATTATAATAATATAGTATTATACAACTATCCTTTGTCAAAAAGCACTTCCAAACCAGAAATTCTTAAATTCATCAACTTAACATTAAACCTAAATAATGTAACTCAGGAGGATATCCTAGATATAATTCAAATAACCAAATCAACCAACCAGATTATAAAACTATCACTTAGTAAGAAACAGACCCGTGATCAAATATATAATGCTTTCATATCAAAGAAACAACGTAAACTAATGGAAGACTGGGGTAATATACAGATAGCACCTGATCTTACTAAAGAAACACGTAAAAGAAGAAAACACTTATTGCCAATATATTATGAATTAAGAAACCAAAACCAATCAGTTAAACTACGTAACGACAATTTGCTAATAGACTGCAATAAATTAACTTTTAGTATTAATACAGGAAAATTAGTCTACATGGATACCTTTCAGCCTTTTTCTGCTCCACCAGAATCATCAAGTTGATATTTACAATAAAATAAAACTCACCAAGAAAAAACTATTAAAATATACATCCGACTATAGTTTTAAATTGGAATAGTCAAGGCTTAAAGAATAAATTTCTATCAATAAATTACTTTCAACTAAATTATGAGTCAGAAACAACAGGTATAACCGAAACTTGGATTACATCTGATTTATTTTATAATTCAGTGTTCTTAACAATGAAAATAACAAGATTACTAGAATTTATTACAAAATGTCGAATTATGTTAATGAAATCGAGAACAGATTCAGCAATATTCCAGAAATAACTAATCTAAATTTTGATATAATAGATAAACAAATAATTCAAATAATGAATGATCATACTCCAAAAATGTCAACGTCTTTCAGAGATACGTGGAACTTCTAACATCTCCCGAATACTCCAAAACGACTCATCTCAAGATTATAGAAATATTTTAAACAGTCTGAATAAAAAAGATCTCTACAGTCTGTATAACTTTTTCATTAAAATCACAAAAATGTTGTAAATCTGAGCTAGTATATTAAATATTACCAACATTGTACATCTGACTGTTAATGTAAATAATATTATTATAACTATCAAATTGTTTCATACTGATATCCTGTATATTATGTAAATATTATTAATAATTTATAATATCCCATTGTATGGCCCCCTGCAACAGGGACACTTCCCTTTATGCTAATAAAGATTATTATTATTATTATTATTATTATTATTATATTGAAAAGAATATTACAGATTTATCTATGTTTTGAAACTTACCGAAAGATTAACAATGATGATTATTGACCGATTTTTTTTATTGTTAAATAATTAGAAAAAGCATAGAAAATTTTGGAGAAATTCCATAAACTTAATTTAAACTTTTCACTCATTTTGTATATTCATAATTTTTTTTACAAAAAAAAAAAATAATATATGGTAAGGAGTCAAACAATGTAAACTTTATGCTTTTCTATCAGAAAAAATTTTTAAAAAAAATGCTTTTATTCACATATATATAAAAAATAAATTTCATCAATATTTAAAGTATTCTTGGTATTATATGACCAAAAATAAAAGGGCAGAGCACTCATATTATAAATAATCTTAGTTATCCTTTCTATCAATTTTTATGGTTTCATATGAGTGTCCCATGCTTTTATTTTTGGCTGCATAGTACCTAGAATACTGTGAAAGCTGAAAAATTTTATCATTTACCTCTTAGTTTAATATATAGAACACATTATAATAGTTTAATTAAAATTAAAAATTGTCAAATTACAGAATAATTTTGTTAAAAGATTGAAAGTAAAATTATACAAAATTTTGATAAAAATCTGTTAAGTTTGTAAACTATAAAAACATCATTTGTTAACAGGAATGAGGAATTGGTGCCAAAATCTGAAATGAATATCACTATTAATGATGTAAAAAATAAGATGAAATTAATAATAAAAAAATCACTGTTCTAAACCTGAAGTTTGTCACTGGTTTACAGCTGAATGAACAAAAGAAATGTTATCATCAAATATAAAATAAAACTTTTTCATTTTCAACTTGCATTTTTACTCTAAGCATTTGACTGTTTACTTGAAATCTCAAGTATTGCCCTTTTTAAATAACAGAATTATTTTATTCTTCAGTTATATGAAAAATAATTATTTCAGAAGATAACATTTAAACCTAAATGAACATGAAAAAAACAAAAATTTTTTAGGAATATCTGACTTAAGTGGATGATGTAAGTAATTATCTATTAACAGAACTGAAAAATAAAATTAATTTTTAAAACAGGAGTATAATAATAAGTCCTCTTTAAATTACAAGAAAATGATTACAAGTTTTCTCATTAAATATTCTTTATGAAAAAAAAAAATAGATTATTAAATTTTATTATGAATTAATACCATAGTTTTCCTCTGAATGTAATTACTACTGTGAAAGAAAAATTTGATAGTGACTTTATCATCATCATCATCATTTAAAGTTATAAATGTAAATATTAAAAGAAAACAATCACTAACAATTAATGCAGGGAATTTCTTAACAGTTAAATATTTCAAATAGATGGCATAAAATTTTACATTGTTTGGAGTTTTATTTACTTTCTTTAATATTTATTACATTTGAACTTCCAAATCAATCCTGAGAAAGCTTACACAAGAGATGCAATACAAAAAAATCTTTCAATAAATAGGAGATTAAAACTAATTAATGTCTATACTATATTTTTTCTACAAAACCACATACAATACTGAAATATATAAATATATACTTTAAACAAATCTGCTTAAAAAGAATTACAGTTTGTTAAAAATGGACTTAAAACTATATTAGCATCAGAAACAATAATTTACAGAAAAATATGAAAACAATAAATCCAAAAGTTTGCTTGCTTCTAAAAATGTTCTCAGTTTTATCATCATATGTACAAAACAAAATATTTAATAATATGAATTAATCATTAATGACAACTGTTAAAAAATAATATTTGCATAACTTACCAATGACAAGTTGACAGATTTGGTAAAATACTGAAGTATTCCAATATGAAGAAGCATCTTGCAATCTACAACTGAAATTCTAAGAAGCCTTTGTGCTAATTCATGAAATGATGGAGAAAAAGCAGATTTCAAATCAATTTCATCTTCCCCAATTTCAAATTTGTTTTTAATATTATCGCTTACAGCAATAAGAAATGATGACAAAACCTCTGGTTTTCCTGTTGGCAGATTTAAAAAAATAAGCAATTTTAATATGTATTACTCATATTGCTATTAAAATGTTAATGATAATTTATTGAAATAATAATTCTTATGTAAAAGTCCATAACATAGTAAAACACAAATGATTTTTATATAAATAAAATTTATATACAAATTTGTATGTACTGTATATTGAGTTAAAGATATCTTTTTTGATCAGGTATTATTATTCTTCTTGAGCCAAATCACTGTAAAGAATAATAAAAATAAAGCTATTTAAAAATACAGTAGAGCATCGATTATCCGACCCCCGATTAACCGTCACCTTGGTTAACCGACCGCGTTCTAGTCGACAAATTCAAATGTCCACTAATGATGTGGCACTACAATATTTGACTATGTCTTGGCTACTTTATTATTATTTTTGTTAAATTTTTGCGTGTTTTAGCTGGCAACACTGGCTCGACCATGAAAGGGAGGCCAGTATTTAAACTATGCTTAATTTTCTAATTATGAATGGTTGTTTGTTTTGTAAGCAATAAAATAATTTTTAACGATACAATAGTGACAATTATTATTTTTAAAAAAAATTTGATAGGCTTAACATGGAGGAAAATTCAACATGAAGTAGGTTAATAGCGATATACTAATATACTAATTACATGGGATATAATAATATACTACACTAATAATGGATTTTTTTCATACTTTTCGGTTATCTGACCAACCCCAGTCCCCAATTGAGTCGGATAATCGATGCTCTACTGTATTAAAATCTGAACAAGCAAAATTATGATAATTCTCTTTAATTTTTATATGTCATTATTTATCACTATAACAACATTTCATAAAATGTGATCATGACAGTAAAATCATTAAATGATTCAACATGCACTAATTATATAATGATATGTAATAAATGCATAAATAAGATTATAAATACATAAAAAGAAAAAATTATTTGTCAATATTAATAATAAAGTTCACTACTTTATAATAAAAAATACTTTTTATTTATCTTTTATCAATTTTGAGTTTCTACAGGAGGCCTGAATTTAGGTTTGAACTAAGAGTTTCTACAGCTAGTTATCTCTGAGATTACAATTATGATACCATAGTTTATGATTCTGTAGCTGATGATCTTGTGATATGTGATGCATGACATTCATCAGGACTCAACTAATATGTTATAGTCATAGCATATCACAATTTGTGGTAGAATTCTGGTATGTATAGTTCTATGTTGATTCATGTCCATCAAATTCTGATTAAACCCATTAAAAGTACTTTTAGACTCAATACTGGATAACATCATTACTGGATTATTAATGGTAAAACTAAGAATATCTGTAATAAATCACACAACATTGAAATTATATTTTAAAAACTAAAAATCAGCAAACTTTGCAGTTAGGATAAAAACGAGTGTGTGTTAAAATGGAATTTAAAATTCCTTTATCAGGTGTTAATTAGCCCATGAATAAATCATAAACGCAATAATTTATGGACAACTTACATCAAAATTTTGTATTTTCAAATATGAAAATTAAAAAATTTTCTATTTCTCAACTCTCATTACAATTTACAGTTTATATGATATATATTGAGATGTATATTTTTTGAATATTGTTAAACACTATAAATGTTTTTTTAAAAAATTAACTAATAACATTTAATATGATTAAAATGAGAACTTGAAAGAAATTTGAAGAAAATCAAGAATTATTCATTCAACTCAGGAAGAATTCTTTGAATAAAAAAAATAATCATTCAATCATGTCTAGAATCAAACTTTCACATTTCATTACCTACAGTGTCCCCCAAAAGTATATATAATCAACATTTTACTGCTTTTCTGAATTGTTAGAAATTTAAGAGAAATGTAAATGATTTCATTTGTATATGCAAATTATTTTTACACTGATTTTTCATAATTTCAAAATTAAAGATCATTATGTTAATAATTTGACAACAAAAATATATTTTTAGCTGTCCCAAAAGTATAGATAATATTCTTTGATGAATGGCACTCAATTGTTTTCAGTGATGAAAAGAAATTTAATTTGGATGGGTGAGATGGGTGAGATGGATGGGCTCATTACTGGCATAATATTATGAGAGAGGAGAGCACAGTTTTTCAGCAAGCAACAGGGTGGTGGTTCTGTTATGGTGTAGGGCCATTTTGGATTTAATGGTTTATCAAATTTAGTAATTTTAACTGGTAGACAGACATCTAAAAGTTATCAAGAAATATTAAAAAATAATTTATTACCTATTGAAGAAAAATTGGAGGACCTGATTGGATTTTCCAACAGTATAATGCCAGTACTCATTGTTCACATTCAACAACTAAGTGGCTCAAAGATCATATTATTCAAGTTATGAAGTGGCCAGCAAAAAGCCCAGACATAAATCCAATTGAGAACTTGTGGGTCATTCTTGCTCAAAACATTTACGCTAATAACAGGCATATTATGACAGTTTCAGAGCTTAAACAAGAAATCATTAAGTGCTGGTTTCAAATGAATCCAGAAACCTTTCACAGTTTAATTAAATCAATGCCTAATTGCATTTTTGAAGTCATTAAGCATAATGGTAATTTTATTTCATATTAAAATAATTTTCATCAATTTATGTTATGAACTATTGCAATATAGATAAGTTTAAACTTATCTATATTTTTGGGACATCACAAGATAAATATAATAACTGTTATGTAATTGTGAGAACCCAGAATTCAAGAAAAAACATGCATGATGTCTATACCTATACCTATTTGGATGACTGTTGTCCTTTACTACCTGAGAACATCTCAATTTACATTTTCTTGACAGCAAAAGCAATGCTTTCCCATGACCCTTTGACCCCCCTGGCTGTTCTCTACCATTTTAATATCATAATTAACGGCCAAATGAGGCAGTCGTAGCCAATTCCTTCCTGATGTAACAAGTTGCCACCTGGCCCTATAATGGAAGTCATTGCCTGTTTCATCACAGATACAGAACCCTGTGTCTCTATAGGAACAATGGATATGATCTCCTGCCAATAACAGATTGTCATCTCCTCTGGTTTGCCTCCATCACATTCGCCGCCCAAGGAAATTTCCTACTCCTGTCCCGGAGAGAACCTTCCACATCTTTCTTCAAACTTTCAAGTATAAAATACTCTAAAGACAATCAAACAATCATCTTATATACAAGTGGCTCTCTCTAATTTCAGGTATTTATAACAACACGTGATTTCACTGTAAACTCTCTCTCTCACAAAACGTGTCAATGTCACTCTCATATCCAATGTCTTGCTACTGTTAGCCTGTAGATCATGACAAAAAATAAATGGGTATTTGTTTTGTTAACCTAGTATATGAGTGTCTTGCTTCCAACGCTGTCTCATTCGCCTCCATCTAAGTCCAATTGCCAGCGCACGCAACCGCTCATGTGACTTCACAACAATAACCCTGTTGTGAAGTCACAAACAAACAAAAGCAGAAATCAAACAAAAACAGCCCTAGTTGCTGTGCGGTGTCTTCTATCCTGACAGTCATAGCCAAAGCGATGTCAACCCTCCAGTCAAGTGGTGCCAAAGCATTGGGGATGCTTCGAGCATTGTCACATAACTGTTAAATACTGTAAAAACAATTATATAACATTGTACTGTGCTATAAATAAAAATTAGTAACCACTTGCATTGTTAAGAAATACTTAATATTTAAAAAAAAAGTAAAAATATATAGATTATCTATAGTTTTGGGTCACATTGTAATCTGATATAAACTTTCATATCATAATAAAACTGAAAAATATATAAAATTATTATATTAAAAATGTAAATGTTCATTTCTAGATCATAGTTTAAAAAAATAAACATTTAATATTAAATAATAATGGTAAAAATTACAAAGATATTTTCATGATATAAAGATAATGTTAAATAAAACTATAAAATCTTTCATTCTTATTCAAAAAAGTTTTGTGATCAATTTAATATGAAGCATTATTTCTTACATTAAAAATGTTAATGTTATTAAATTACTATTTGCAAAGAAACTTTAAAAACAGTCTTACAAAAATAGAAACTGCTATCCATTTTAAAAAAATTCTTTCTTTAAATTGTTTTTGATTAATTTTTCGATAGCTATAAATGTCATAATTACAATTTTTATATTGTGTCAAATTATTTTCTATGCTTATAATGTGTTAAGTGAAAAAGACAAAAATTAAATAAATTATAAAAACTTACCTGATTCCACATGATTTTCAATTAACAAATCAATAAGCTCTGTATGTGGATTTGAATGTGAAAAAAATTCAGGATGACAGAGAGCTGTCGAGACATCAGAAATTATAACAGATGCTAAAATGTATGAATCAGATTCCTATTCATAAATTTAAAAAAATTAATTCAATAACAACAAAAATTTTTAAGATATTATTTGAAAATAAAATTATAAATAGTTTAGTTAAAATTTCTAATTGTTAAGTTTAAATGAGATTCAAAAATCTCAAATTGTAAACTTAAATTAACAAAAGTTCTTTAATATTCAAGCCATCAATCTTTAATATATATACTTATGTTAAAATGCATACTACATATTAATTTCATGTAATACTGAAAATTAAATAATTTATTAATGTTTAAGTTTTAAATATTTATTTTAAAAATTTTCACTAAAAAAATATAAAACGTTTGGTTTTCATTATTTTTTAACAAATTGGAAAAATTTATTAAATTTCAATTAATATAATATAATGTAATTATTCCATTAATTCATCACAGTTAATAATAATAATTTTGTTACTTACTAGTAAATTTGTATGATGAACTTTTAATCTAAAATAGCAATCAAACAGATAATAAATAATGCGTTTTTCAATGGCTTTCTCTTTATTATAATCGTCGTCATCTGCATCTGATGACGTAATAAGAAACTTGCTTGGATCATCAATCATCAGACGTTCAAATATTACCTAATAAAATAAACAAAACCATTAAATATTTACAACTTTTACATAGTTAAACAAATTAATAAAGGACTATAGGATATATAACAACATAACAAAATTAAACTATTAAAATCTATAAACAAGATTAAAAATTTGTTAATAATATAGAATAAATTTTATAAACATCTATCTTTTTATATCTAACTTCATTTAAGATAAATATAAGGACCTTGAATAAGTTCTCGCTGTTTTTTTGTGAAAATTAACACTTTATTTAAAAAAAGTCGTAATAAACACGTCACTGAAAGTATTGTCCATCACTAGCCACTACTTTCTCCCATCGTTCTGGCAGCATTTGAATTCCATGTCAAAAAAACGACACGTTTTTTGAGGCTATCCAAGAATCAACCCATTTTTTGGCATCTTCATAAGAACGAAAGTGCTGCTCAGCCAGGCCATGTGACATCGATCGGAACAAGTGATAATCGGAAGGGGCGATGTCTGGTGAATATGGCGGGTGGGGTAGGACTTCCCATTTAAGCGTTTCCAAGTACGTTTTCACCGGTTGTGCAACATGTGGCCGAGCATTGTCATGTTGCAAAATCACTTTGTCGTGTCTCTGCTCATATAGCGGCCGTTTTTCCTTCAATGCTTGGCTCAAACGCATCAA